GCACAGGCCTCTGTTTTTATTTTGGTAAAGCAAAACAATACATCCCTCTGCCTTCCAACAGAGAGTGAGCATCCATACTTCTAATTCACCAGCTGTGCCACAGAGCCCATTTGAGTCCTTCCAGATGACACTGCTGTGGCCTCCCCTTGCTTCCTGAGGGTCTGGCATAACCCACTGACCTCCAGGGACTGGGGTCCAACAGCACAACGGGGCACTGGAATCCCAGGGGAGCGGGGGATGGCAGCCTCTGTCTGCCCCAAACTGTCCCTGCACATCCATGCAGAGGGAGTGCCAGCCCGGAGTGCCAGCCCTGCATCAGCCTCTGCACACCCTGCAATTCCCACCACGGGCACCCTTCCCCTGCAAAAGTCCCTAGAGCCTGTCAACAGCAAAACAGACACAAAACATCCAGCTCTGGCTGTGTGCCACCTGCACTGAGCTGATTTCAATTGATGAACAATGTGACACATTTTTAGGAGTTGAGGATGAATATGTGTATGCAAAACTCGGTGTCTGTTTAGGGTTCACTATGTAAGAACTACTCCCCTGTGAAGTGTTCTGACTGCTGTATCATCTAACGCCTTCTCATTATATCATATTTCTAGTGCACTCATGCTCTGAACTCCACTGCTCAATTCTATTCCCAGTTATTCTGTGTAGCCCCATAACAGCCATGACTGGCAGAAGTTGGCCTTTTACCTTAGTTGCTCCTGGCTTTTTACTTTTACTACCATGTATGAACTTTTACTACTCCTACATTCTTTTTTTATGGGACTTATGGAGGAATCAGAATGACACAGATGGCTTCTTGAGCCAAAGTAAAGCTTTTCTTATCCCCTGAGCCACAGCATTTCAAAAAGCAAAAGACAGAAAGGGATTTTGTTACACTGGAGCTGGATAAATACTGAAGACTGGCTAATAACAACCTTCTGTTGTTAGTCTGTGTGAGAAAAGAAAGCCTCTCTTCAAGTGGGAGAGAACTGAATGTTTTAAGTCTCCCCCGAAAAGCAAAACCATAAACAAGGTTCCTCTAAAGTCATGAGAGATTCAGCAAAAAGCTTTCTTGAAAAAAAAAAAAACACCCTTCCCCCTCCCAGCGTTGGCTACGGAAATCTGGGACAAAGGTCCTCATGATTATTCAACAAGTTAGAGATACGCAACTAAACACAAGATCAGTTAATCATAAAAGCAGCAGCACAAAGCCAAGAAATTAAAACACGTTTAACACCGAAAACCTGTAAGTATGTGAAAGGGCACGGCTTTTGCAAAACTCCCTCAGAAACATTAATGTTAAAGGGAAAAAAAATACTGCCTCGGTGCATGATGCCTGGGCAGACAAACATTACCTCCCACGGCCACGGGACATCTGCCAAGTCACACAGACAGCGGGCAGGGCCAGAGCTCCTGCTCCTGTACACTGTGAAACCCCTGCACGATGCTCCAACAGCTCGGGACGTTCAATTCACACCAAGCCAAGGCTGAGTAAAGAAGTTTCAGAGACAAAGCACCACGTCTAAGGCAGGTCTGGCACTACGGTATGGCACGGGGAACAAAACCCATGAGCAGGACTGGCCAGGAGGATGGATGCCAACTGCCCCACGCTGCCCCAAGAGCACCCAGCCTTTCTCAACAGTGCACACCAGCAAGGACCAGGGCCTAGACATTCCGAGCAGCTTTCCTCTCCAGGAAGACAGCAGTTCTTTAGCAATAGGTGAGACAATGCCTTGTACCACTTGTCAGAATCACTCAAGCACTCGCTTGAATTTCCAACAACCCCGGTGTCCCCGTTTCCATCCCCCCCCCCCGTGCTGCCATGGCTCCTCTGCCCTGCTTCCTCCTGAGGAAGATTTCTGTGCCCAATCAGCTTACGGTCATTAAGTACTCACACCCATCACCACCCAAACACCCATCACAACCCATTTTGCAAAGCAAGAAATAATGGCAAACTTGTCAACAGGCAATGGAACCCTACAAAGTTCCCAAGCCTTCTGAAAAACGCTATGCACATGCTGAAATTCAAGTTATCCTCAGAAACTATTTCCTTAAGGCAGCCTGTACCTGTGGGTCTGCACAGCGTTCACCTGAAACAAGAGATACAATCAGGACAGCTTCAGCTTTGGCTGGCTGCCCTGACCACAGAGCTGACTCGAGGGGTGTATCTGTGCTGACCTGTCCCGGCAGGTGAGCAGGGAGACCAAAGCAGTGGGCACGGCCAAAGCAGAGGCACTGTGGGCACACAGAGAAGTTCAGGGTCCTTTTGGACACAGCAGAACTAAACCAGTGCTCCCCAACCTCTGCATCTTGCACACCTCAGGATGACCCCAACTGTGAGGGTGGGGAGGCCCTGGCACAGGTTGCCCAGAGAAGCTGTGGCTGCCTCATTCCTAGAAGTGTCCAAGGCCAGGCTGGATGGGACTTGGAGCAACCTGGGCTAGTGGAAGGTGTCCCTGCCTGTGGCAGGGAGTGGGAATGAGACGGTCCTTATGGTCCCTTCCAATCCAAACCATTCTGTGATTCTATGACTTCAACCACATTTATTTTTTAAAGAAAGAAAACAAACCCTGCTGGTCTCCGGAGTTCAAAGTGACACGTCTGTGACACCAAACAAGCTGAACCCAGGTGCTGACCCTGCTCCAGCCCCTCGCACAGATGCTAACGAACCAAGCAGCAATTCAATCACTGCAGTGACCAGTCCTGCTGGGTTAAGGAAACGTGCTGCTTTTGGAGGCTCCTTATCACAGAATCATAGAAAGTTAAGTGATTGGAATGGACCTTAAAGATCATCCAGTCCCAACCCCACCTGCCACGGGCACACCTCCCACTAGACCAGGATGGTCAAGGGCTTATCCAGCCCGGCATCGACAACCTCCCTGGGCAACCTGTTCCAGTGTCTCACCAGTCCCACAGTAAAAAACTCCTTCCTCTTTCTCACTCAAGTGCAAGCGAACAGACCTCAAAACAAACGCGGCCGGAGGGCGATGTGCGGGCAGGGACCCCCGCAAGGCGGAGCTGCGACAGCCCCGCGCCCCCCATCCCCGCGCACCTCGGTGACGATGGTGGAGCGGTACACGTCCCGGCTGTACTCCCAGCCGTCCAGGCACGGCTCCTGCTCCAGCGTCTCCAGCTCCACGTCGGAGCCGGGCCGCAGCCCCAGCGCCGAGAAGTTGGCGAGCGCGGCCAGGCGGTAGCGGCGGCAGCGGCTCGGGGCCGCCCGCCCGTCCCGCAGCTCCAGCGGGATGCTGGCGTTGAGCCACTCGCCGCTCAGGTTGGCCCCGCGGGGCACGGCGCACCGGTGCTCGGGGGTGCCGGCCAGGAACACGATGGAGAGCCCGTTGAAGCCGTTGGGGATGATGCTGGCGCTGAGCAGGAAGAAGATGAGGCGCTGGAAGAGGCCCCACTCGCCCAGGAAGGCGGTGACCGCATCGTAGTCGCGCATGGCGCGGCCGAGCTGCGGCCGCCGGTGCCCGGGGCCGCTGTGGCGCGGGCAGGAAGCTGCGCCATGGGCCGGGCCGGGGGTGGGGTTTGCGGGCGGGGGCCCCGCAGGTGGGGCCGGGCCCGGCGCGCTCCGCCCGGGGGCTCGGCCGGGGCCGGAGGGGCCGCTGCGGCTGCGGGAGGAGCGGCCCCGGCAGCGCCGGGCACGGGCCGGGCACGGGAGCGGCCCCGGCAGCGGGCACGGGCCGGGCACGGGTGTCAGGGCCGGGCCGGGCACGGGTGTCACAGGGCCGGGCCGGGCACGGGCGTCACACAGGGTGGGACGGGCCGGGCACGGGTGTCACACAGGGCGGGACGGGCCGGCCCGCGGCTCCCCCCGCTCCCCCCGGCGCTCCCGGTGTTCCCTCCCTTTCCCCCGGCACTCCCGGCCGGCCCCGGGGCTCGGCTCCGGACCAGCCTTGTCCGTGACCTGGGGCTCCTTTTCCATGCAAGGCACGTGCCCTGCCCTGGGTGACTTCTGGTCAGCAACAGCCCATTAATACAGGCGTCAGACCCCATATTTACCGCCCAAAGGATTCAGAAACCAGCGTTGGGACGAATTGCAGAATCAATTCGGTTGGAGAAGACCTCCAAGATCATCGAGCTCGACCTGTGACCGAACATCACCATGTCATCCTGAGCATGTTCTGTCTGTCCTTTAACACCTCCTGTGACTCCACCACCTCCCTGGGCAGCCCATTCCAACTGAATCATTATTGAGCTGCCTTCAGCCCCCAAGGCTCAACCACACAAGGAACCAGCCCAGGGTTCTTCAGTAAAGCCTTGGTTTGGGTCAGTACCATGGATGAGCCAAAAGAGTCTTCCTGGACTGTTCTGCTCACCAAAGAAGGCAGCCTGCTGCAAGTCCAGGTTCAATGGCTCCTCGTTCCAGTCTGTGTTACCTTCCCACACCTGCCATCGTCCCTTCGGCAGCATTGGCTGTGGCTGTAAAAACGTTTCATTTACCATGACACTACTTTCTGAGGGAACATGTACTAGGTGTTTGACAAATAATAAATTTAATAAATAATATTCTGATCTTTGGCCCCAAGCCCCAGCTCAGTACCCAGGGGCACTGGCAGGAGGTTCACATGCCCCATAGAGCTCAGTTCAAAAGCTGTGGGGTATCGCTGCAGAATTTGGCCTTGTTCTCCCAAAGGCTAGTTCATATTTCTGACTGGCTTTTTGTGGCTGATATTTTCTCCACAGCATCTTTTGAACTGTTGTATTTAAAAAGATCTTTCATTCCATGTTGAAATCACACAGCTGTGAAAATTATCAAAGGTGGAAAATGAATAACAAAATAGGAGTTAAACCACAAAATCATCTTTAAGCATGGCTAGGGTCAGCTTCCAAGGATTTGAAGGATCAGGACCGAAGTACCTGAAATCCAGGTAGTTTTAGGGGTTTATTTTCATCCTTTATCCGTGCTAAATACATTTTAAATTACTTCTTTAACCTTCTTGGCACCAAGCATTTATTTTGGGGAGCCTTGCTCTGCAACTACAACCCACACAGAAAGCAGGTGAAACAATGTCAGTGCACGTTTTTATTACAATGAGCACAGGAGTTAATGAGTGACAATTATACAGCTCCCTAGAGGCGTGAGCAGAGCGGTGAGCCAGCGGGGGGTCGAAGGTTGCACACAGAGACCCGAGTCCAGGTGACAGAGGTGACAGAGGAGGCACAGTGCGACGGCCCCAGCTGGGGCTTCCCTCATTCCCACTGCACTTCAGACACCATCAGGCCTTACAACAGCACTGCTCAAAGACATTCTGCTCTTGAGAAAGGTTGTTAAATCCCCTGCTAGAAATACTAAAATGTGACACTAGCTCGAGATCAGCGGTGCAAGTAAGAAAAACGAGACTGGTTGAAACAAGGTACTTTAAAAAACACAACCCTCTTTCTTATTTAAAAAAGGAAAAAACAGGTTTTAAGATACTGCAAGGTTCAAGAGTACAAAAATATTTACCTTTTAGAAATACCCAAGCCTACAATCTCATAAAATAAGTCGCAACTTAATATAAAAATCTTCATAAAAATATGGCCACCTATATTTAACCCAAGTCCTCAAACCTGTTCTGTGCTGATATATAAGGGCTTTCTTGAGAAATTTGGTACATTTAAACAACTATTCTATAGGTTAATTCTGTAATAAGTAAAAACAAGATTAAATACTGCTGTTATTAGAGAAATTACAGCTTGAGAAGGGATGAGAACATCAGGGGTCACAGGACACTGGTTACCTCATGCCATGTTACATTTATGGCAAAAGTATAACTGCAGCAAATTATTAGAAAATAGTATTTCCACTCCCAAAAGCAGTTTGGATTAATTGCACAAGTTCCTTGCATTTAAATGTTATAAAGCTTTATATTTGTGCTTGAACTTCAGGGAGAGCCCCATTCCTGTGCCAAGTGCCAGCACAAGACAACTCACCCTGAACTCTCGCAGTAAAGATGAGACACTGTGCTTTTCTTGGCCCTTACAGGAGGTGACTCAGGGCTAATTGTTATTTATAGAGGATAAAAATCAGTCTACCAGGTCTGATAGACTTTATGTGTCCAAGAAGTGCATGCACAGCCAACATATACAAAAATAAAAGGTATTACACTTTTTTCCAACAATGTAGTGTTTATAAAACAGTAGTAGCACAACTTGAAACTCTACATTTATCATCATCCAATCTACCTATGCTAAACTTTTTTTTTTAAAAAAAGCATATATCATCTGTAAGTTTCTACATTTATCATCATCCAATCTACCTATGCTAAACTTTTTTTTTTAAAAAAAGCATATATCATCTGTAAGTTTTGAAAACCAAAACACTGGTGTTTAGTTTTGTTTTGAAAAAAACGTGGTCCCCAATTAGTCCTTTTGCATTTTTAATAGCTGCAGGTAAACATCTCCAGTACAGATTTTTGAGAGCAAAGCCCCTTTAAATTTATAAATGGCACAAGGGTTTTGAGAAGCTTTTGAAACTGCAGTGAGCTTTCTCTGAAGGTGCAGAACAAAGTGGTATATATTCAAAGAAGAAATTAAATACTTTGGGAAAAATAAAACCAACACCCCAAAAGATCTAAAAAACCTGCTTATGCCCAGATACCATGAAAAACCTAAAATCTAAAACTTCATGGCACATATGGACAGGATCACTGACTTGCTAAAGCTTATGTTTCTGTTGAAAGTGGGCATGGCCCATCAGAAAGTCAGCAAACTATAGTCCTTACTCAGTGCTCGAGATTCCCCCCCCTCCCCAAAGACACAAAGCCCAAGGTGGGCTCAGGCTTTATGAAAAAGCATCAGTTTTTACAGGAACAAGTGGATCCCAGGTCCTGGGAAAAGCAAGTGACATGGAAAGCTCCTCTGATGTTCTGTTTAACCCCATGTCTTTACAGCAAAGTCTGTGTCTGCTCTGCTACAACTCAGTTCTGACCCCACTCAGTCTATGGGCTTTGGTCCCAGATTTCAGAGGAGGCCAGGATCTTTCCTTCAGGTTTGGAAAGACAGGCACCCAGTTCCCCTTCTTCCAGTCAACACACACAGTGAGAAGAACCACCAGCATTACATTTGCTAAATATTTTTTGTCCTTTAAGCAGCTTTCATCAAGTACCTGACTTACTGGAGTCACTGCTGTATTATTCCTAAGGCTCACTTCTAGCTTACTCCTCGACTTCTGTCTAGCACAGCAGGTCCCCATTTCTCAATGGGGACTGTGTCTGCTGACAAACCCCAGCAATCAGGACGCTGAATTACAGACTGAGAGTCCTGCAGGAGTAGACAGCAGCTGGTCAGTAAACTGTGTAATCTGGGGATGGTAGCACAGGGGGTAACAACTATGGTGCAATAGCATTGACTGTTGGGTTTTGTTCATTTTCCTCTGGAAGAAAAATGCATTTTGAGATGATCCTGTTCTTCTTTCAGCCCCTCTGACAGCGTGCATCCTTCTTCACAAGCGTGTCATCAGAATTTTAGGACTTTCCTTGGAACTCCTAACGCCAGTGGTTTCTTGCCCATTTCTGAAACTGAAAGCAAGTAAAAGACTGAGAACTAGAGAAGATTTTCCAGGGTGTCATCAGCCACTCCCCCCTGCCAGCGAGCACGGCTGCAATAGGCACGTTCCTCTGCTGCTGTGACCCTACAGCCCACGCAGTGCTCTGCACAGTCGCCTGGCTGGGTGGCAGCAGCAGTGCAGCAAACAATGCTTGGAATGTGAACCTCATTCAGGGACTGTAATTCAGTTACTTCAGTCTGTTGATGCAAGGAGCCTGTGAGGGGAATCTGCTTTGACTCCAGGATTTCTAGCTACAGGTCCTCAGTGCAACACTGAAAAGCCACAGGTCAGACGTGTAAGAAGTCCCTAATTATGATAGGGTATGCTGCTCTTTTTCTTAAGGAACCTGGCCAGAGAATTTTTCTTATTCTGAAAGCATGACAGCTCCTTATATTGACCAGGAATTAGATACAGGGATTCCCAGCTTTTTCAAGGTATTATTGCTTATAAGGGCAAATTCTGTTCCAGTACCAGTTCTCACTAAGCTGGGTGGTGGCTACTTGGTTAATCCAGTTTCCTTCTGCTGCTCCCAAGAATTTTCTTCACACTGTAATGGATGTGCACAGATTCCAGTGGAAATGTTTGCTCAGGGGACCCTAAATAGCCATGGTGGTGGGTCAAGAGAACTGTTGTTGCTTACAGCTAAATCATATAAACCAGAGGAAAAGCTGTCCTGGCCTCTCTCTGGCTGCCCAGAAAGAGGTAGAATGTTGAAATTTTGTCTTTAATTTGGAGTAGTATATGATGAAGTGTTTCATAATGTACATAATCCTACTAAATGGAAAGTTTAAATGAAGAGTTAAAGAGAATGAATGATAAAAAAGGATGAAAGGTGTTGGGAAATCTGAAGCAACAGCCTCAAGGTCAGCCTTGCTTTGCCAGTGCACATCAGCTCTCAGGTTCAGACACTGGAGAAATTGCATGATGTCACTGTTGAATTAACAACCCAAAAGAAAATAATCTAAGGGGCACTTTGAAAGCTTTGATGTTTTGCAGTGAAACTGAAGAAATGTTTACTGATTGGGAAGAGGGACTGGGTAGGAGCAGGCTGTGAACCCTTGTGAGGCACAGGATGAGTGGAAGCTGCCTTACCATTTCACCTTCAGCATCTGCTCGAAGCTCTCGGGCAGGGGGTTGCCGTAGCTCTCCGGGAGGAACAGGGTGAGGATCCCAATCAGCACAGTCAGGCTTCCCATCAGGATATAGGGCAGGAATCTGTCATAGGCACCTGGCAGGGCAGAGGACATGCCAACAGTACTTCATGTCCACAACCGACAAACCCACGTGGAAACTTTATATTTCAGACATTGCTGCAATGCGGAATTCATTTGGAATAATTAGCTGAAAGCTTCATAAATATCAAAGGTGAATCCAAAACTGAGTTACATCTGTTACCTGCCAGCAAACAAAGGAATTTTTCCAATTTTAAAAATTTTAAAGCTTCAACGTGTGCTCTTGGATGGCAACACCTACCAACAGTTTCATGCCAACCCCCATGTTTGTGTAGTGGCTGATAGTTTGGGGGTTTGGGGATGTTTTACATTTTCAGCTGGGCTAGCCAACATCTTTGCAAGGCAACAGCTCTGCTGGGATCACTGCTGGAGTCTCCAGCACTACACTGTCATCAGGAACCAAATCCTCTGTTAAATAATTCAATATGAGGGAATAAAATTGCTCATAAGCAACCAAGCAGCTCATCAGCTGCTGGGATTGCGTATCCTGCTGGGCTGGTGCAAAAGAAGGGAAGAGACTAATGCAGCTGAACAGGCCAGCTACAGACTAACAAGTCATTAACAGGGGAATCCTTCAATGCCTTCCTTCCTGCAAAGGGAGACAGCATCAGGCTTCCTGAGACACACGTGAGGCTCTGACCTTGGTGTACTCAGAATACTATTTTGGACTCGAAGGCAGCAGCCCCTGCCAGCAGCCTGAAGCTGGCACAGGAGTGTTTGGGCAGGATGCAAGAGCCTCAAGTCACAGCAGCACAGCAATGGAAAAGTCTTTCAGGAAAGGGATTACCAAGGAGTTAAAGTATTTAAGATCCAAAGATACCAAACTGGACTTGACAGCTTTATTTTATAGTTGGGATAGAGCAATGTGCTTTATAATGTATGGAATAAACTAGGATTAAAGTGAGGACCCCTGGGTATGTCACACTGAGCCAAAGTTTGTGATTTGATCTCTTCTGTGTTCATGAGCTGGATGAAATACAAGGTCCTAATTTAGCTGTAGCAAATAGCAGCAGCTGACAAGTTTTTCCTAAAATCCCTTAGAGTTTAGGAAACTATTTTGATGACTCCAGAGAGCGCAGATTCTGCGAATGTTCGGATTCCCACCTGGTTCACCTCCTCCTGACATACCCATCCTGGGATGTGCATGGAGAGTACCATGCAACGGATCTCCTACTGCCAGATTTCCTTACTTGCAACATCACTTCTTGTCACATTCTCCTGGGAAACTACCTGGCATCCCAAGATGTGGTTGTCATCCCAGCCACTCCATTTGCATGGTTTATAAACACCATCATTGTCCTGGACCAGCTTGGACCCACTTCAGTGATATGTGAGTGGTCCCTAAAGGAAAGAAGTGCCTGATCCTTCTGTAAAGCCCAAGCAGCTCTACTTCATTTCTGCCGTGTCTGGCAGTGAATTCAGATCCCAGGTGAGAGAAGGGACTCAAAAGACAAGAAGTGAAGGGACTTAAAGCTGAGCCTGCACTGCAGAAGCTCAGATGGCTTCTCTGGGCAGCTGTGTGGCACGAGGCAAGAAAGGCAGGATATCTCACCCAGGTAAACAAAGTAAGGAGCGATGATGCTGCCCAGCCTGGACGCCGTGGAAGTGGCTCCCACTGCCATGTTCCTCACCAGGGTTGGGTACAGCTCCACGTTGTAGACATAGAGCATTGAAAATGCAGCTGTGATGCCAAACTTCCCGAGCATCACCAGACCAACAGAGAGGACATTGAGATCTGGAGGAGACAAAATAAAATCAAGGTCAATATACAACACTCTGTGCTTATTACTTGTATTTCTTCTACGTCCAAAAGATTATATTGCTGGTCTTTTTCTTAAAGGTTGTGGGTTTGGTATTGTTGTTTTTTTAAAAAATTACACAAAGTATTAACCCATCCCTGGATGGCTTGGCTCCAAACTTCCCACTGAGCATAATGTAGCTGTTCAGGTTATTTTGTACTTTCCAGATTTTGCTTGTCTCCAAGTAAAACAGCATTTTTTAAATGGAACAAAACTTTGGATTACATAGCAATAAAGCACAAGCTTAAATCCACCCCTTTTTTGCAAAATCCTGTGGAGATTTACACACAGTGAAATGTGGATGCAGGTTTTTTCAGTCTGGATGCACAACCAGATAAATCACAGTACGCTTTGGGCTCTCATGTTAGAAGCTGGTTCCCCTGCACTATATAAAGCTCAGTAACCTGACACAATAAATGAGAGTTGAGCATGACTCAGCATATACATATGCAATAAAAAAAAATTAAGGCTGCAAGGGATCAGCATAACCTTGGCCTCAAATTCTTAATTCGATGCCGGTTTCCAGTGGTTTTGCAGAACTGGTACAGAGTACCCTCAACTGTTCTGAATATTTTATATACTAGAACCACGTATTGAATTTTGTACCTGTAGGAACCAGCTGAATGAAGAGGACAACACTTCCCCCTAAAAATAAGGTGCCAGACAAGGAGTAGCGGCGCGGGAGGGAGCGGAGGAGGAGCCAGGCGATCACATAAGCTGGGACTTCAATCACAGCCGAGAGGAAGCAGTTGAGGTAGGCATCTCCATGCCAGTCTGGAGTGCTGAGGGACAGGCCAAAGTAACCAACTGACGTGAAAAACCTGAGAAAAGCAATAAATCCAAATCATTCCAGAAACAGCAGTCTCTGAACGCCTCCAGTGTTGCCTCAGGTGTTGTTACAAATATAGGATGTCGGAAAGCGTTGCCACAGGTATCGTGGCTTAAAAAAATCTCAGTGGCAACCCCATCTTTCTAATTCTGTCATCTCTTCCAGTGGCCACATCCACAGCAGCTTGAAGAGACCTTGGATTTCTCTGTCCTTCCTGCACACACTACACCAAGTAAAAGGCTTTGTGGAAGTCGTTCACAAAGGCTTTTCATTGCAATGGACTCAACAACACAATGGAATGACTCTTGCAAGCTTCCCATGCCAACTACTTTCCTACTTGTAGCCAACTCCAGTGACAGGATCTCCCCCCCTCAGCAGTTCCGTTACAACTTATTTAATCTTCACAAGAGAGCTGGATGTTCAGGTCTCAAATCTCAAGAGTGCCTCACTATGGCATGCCAAGTGTGCTAGCCAGTTCCTTTCTGCTGGGGAAATATGGACAGAAAAGGGTGCTGGTTTGTCTACATGGTATTATTGGGTCCTCATTCCTCGTGGCTGCCCAGGCAGGGACCAAGATCTCCCTGAGATGGGCACTGTACAGACACAGAACAAAAATGCTGGCCATGGGTCTGCTTCTTGTTATGCTACTGAGTTGCTGCCTTTGCTTCAAGAAGAACATTTCTCTTCAAACAGAGATTACAGAGATGGGAGCATCTTAAAAAAAAAGAAAAGGAACATAATCTAAAATAAACAAGTTTTTACATATGGTTTCTTAACTATTTTACATCGAGGCTACTGTCTCCAGATCCTTGGGTATTAATGCTGTGTGGGAGTGAGGACATTGAGGGCCATGTACCAGCCAAGGACCATGTGGAGATGGGCTCCAAGGCTCAGACTTCTTATCTAAACCTGTGGCATGTGCCCTCAAATCAGTAACTGTTTTATTGCCTGGGTACTGTAGGAATACACATTTCCTTACCACAAAAGTAATGACATAATAGTAATAGTTGCAATGTTTCGGGTTCGAAATAGGTCCAGAAGGATAGCCTTCTGCTGCTGCTGAGGCTTCGAATCCTGCATCTGAAGGAAAAAGGAAAACAAAACCGAAAAAATTCCCACACACCTAAGAGCAAAACAACCTCTGCTACCCACAAGCCGGGCAGTTACGAAGTTACAGCTATCAGGGGATAACCAGGCAGCCCAAGGGCCACGTCTGCCCCGGGGTGGGCAGTCCTTAGGTAGAGCTTGTCTCTGCACCCAGCTGCACTCGTGGGAGATTCCACTTTTTTGTTAAAAAAAAATAAATAAAAAAATAGGTAATGCTGAGACAGCACACACTGACTAATTAGAAAGGAGTATCAGCTGACCAGACAGATGAATTCACATTTTCTTAGGGATGTCACACTCTGCTTCCAGGAGTAACCTCGTTACCAAAGGCATTTTTCTGTGTACTGTCCACTCAACTCTTCTGTTCGACCTTCACAAACAATGTGAAAAAACCGCAGGAAATCACCAAGTTTTGCTGCCTGCCAGCACCTGACAGGGAGGGCAACAGATGCCAGAGGTTGGTGAAGTGGCCAGAGCACAGCATGGGAGCATCCACCACCTCAGATCAGAGTCGGAGGGTCCTGTTTGAGGCTTGAGGCAGCAATCTTCTGGGAGGCATTAGGGTGCCCCTCTGCCTGCACACTTTGACTTGCCAGGGCAAAGCCAGCACTTGTGTCCAGGCTTCCCCCCAGGCTGAAAGAGCAAACCACCCTGGCTCTCCCAACAGGGCTACCCAGGAGATTTCCTTTCCTACAAAGAGAGGATGGTTTCTGAGGAATGTCTTCCTAGTAATGTTTGAAAAATACTTCCAGCGGAGGATGTAGAGCGCAGACATCATCCTCAGGCTTTTGAGGACAGACACTGTGGCACACAAAATCTCCATGAGGTAAAGGACAGTTGAGCTGCTGCTTGGTCTCAAAAATACGTGGGAGTGATGAAATGCTGCAACCTGAAAAAGCCACCTCCAGTTTGAATGCATGAAGATGAAACACAGTTTGAAACACATCCGAGCACTGGCTGTGAAGGAAAGAAATGGCTTTTCCGTGGTTTCTGTAGGATGAGCTTCCCATCATTGCAATGTGCACTTCAATTTACAGTAGAACTTACACTTGGAAAAGGGATCTTCAGCCAAACTGTAAGTGGGACTCTCAAGTGCGGGGTGGTGCCCAGGGGAGGTGTCACACAGTGTCTGTGTCCCGCAGACACTGCAGAGGAGCACACGGGGCTCTGCTTTCTGCTCTACCAGGAGACACGGGGAGGCACAAAACACAGGTGCCACTATGAGGCAGCAGAGGAAGATGTGACCTACAGGTCATTGCTGACACAAGGCCGAAGAGTCGAGCTGCTGGTTCCTTTGCACAAGAAAAATCCGTGTGCCTCTTCAGGAGACGCTCCGGCGCGGGCAGAGCCACTAGAGGGGGAGATGAGCACACGAACCAACCATCCTGCCGGGGCTCTGCTGCTCCCCAGCCCTCTGGGGTGCCAGGTTTGCACCAGGCTTTCTTCTTTTAACCAACAGGTATGAAATACAAGAAAAAAACCAGTTTTGAAGAAGAGCTTGATGTTCCTCACAGCCTTCACTACCATCCTGGTTTTCAAGTGCCCTTGTAGCACTCGGGTGCTTTGACTGGTTTGTGCAACCCAAGGAGTCCCTCAGGCTCCACACAGCCCCAGCACACGTGGGTGCTGATTTAGGGCCCCCTGCACAGCCCCTCTGCAAAGGGCTGCTGTTAAACTACAAATTGCAAACACCACACCAAGCTGAAATGGGCACAAACACATCTTCCTCAGGTCTTCTCAGTGCCCAAAGGATAAAGCAATCTGGGCCACCCTTGCTTTGAAAACCACAACAAACCACTGCTGAGGAATACCATTTTACTGCACAAAACAAATAATAAAACCTCCCTTTGGGTTCTCACTTTGATCTCTCTAACCCAGCTCTTACCACATGCCAGAAGTCCCCGCAGCCTCTGAGAGCTGCTGGTGCAAACCAGTTCCCTGCTGGCACTTCCCAACAAGTCAACTGGCCAAAGGGGAAAAGTGCCAGCTAGGTAAAGCAGCAGGATGTGTGGAACATACCTCTGCAGTGTCGAAAAGCACGGCTGGGGCTGGAATGCCATTTATTTTTGCAGCCTTTCGGATAATAACTTCTGCCTCCTTATATCTTCCCTGGGAGATCAGCCACCGAGGGGACTCAGGAATGACCCTGCAATAAGTTTCAGAATAAACGACTCAACATTGTCACAAAAGTAAAAAGTTACAAGTAACATATTTGCTGTGTCTGTGAATTATGCTCTCATCTCACAGATTGCTTGCAGCAGGAGACAGCCAGCACAGAGGGACGTGGGCAGTGTAATTCAAATATATGGGATGTGGTTATTCTCATGCTAAAGTAGATGCATGCTTAGGCCTTTGTCCTCACTGGTTGTTTTTCAAGGAATAATTGATGTCCACCAGATGTCACCAGATAGACAGCAAGGATGGGGGTAGCTTAGCCAGCACTGAGCAGAAATATTCTTAGGAAACTGCACACAATGTGGAAATGCTTTAAATATGCACAGGATATATTTAAAGGTTCTGTGTCATAGGAATCTTATATACAAACCTCACAATGTTACCACAGCTCTGAGCAGGCTCTCCCGGGCAGAGAACTGGGGCAGTGTCCCCTTGCAGAGTTGATGACATTTTCTAATCAATTCCAGGCACGTGTTGAGTGAATTAACACCAAACACAGGACAGAAAATTTCACTTTTCCTCAACTAAATCCTTTGATATTAACAGGTGCTGCCTTGCTCCTTTTAGCCAGCAGCACTTTTTCCTCTCCTTGGAAAAAAGCAGGTCAGACACTCCTTTTCTGATGAACCCTAAAGGACTGACCCAAAGACAGGTCAATAATTTCAAACATCAGATGATTTATATCCAATCCTTAACCACGCATGGGACTTTCTGTGAGATGAGCTGCCTCCACTGCTCTTCTTTCTGGGCAAGCTGAGGATCCCGAGACTGCAGAGACAATGCTGGGAACCTTCTGGAGAATTTGGAAGGGAAATGAGTAAAAGAGCAACTATGGCACAGAGCAGTGGGATGTGCAAGTCACATGGCCCATGGAAGCAGTAGGTCCACGTGCCCAAATGCCAGCTAATGCCAACCTGCCCTGGCAGAGCATTGCTGGTGCACCTTGAGCCCCATATCTCCCCCCACATAAGCCCCTGACTAGAAGTTCCCTCCATGGAAACTTTCTGCATGCTTTACAGTGTGCACCCTTGAAAACCTGGCAACTCCCACCCAGTACATTTCCCAGCAGGACTCTGAAGCCATGCCCTGGGGACAGATTTCGTGTCCCTCACAGTGCCTGTTCCACAGATACCTGAGAGGCTCCCACCCAAACCTCCCAAACCAGGGAACAGCTGCTTGGTGCACAGGGAAGTGCTGCTGTGCTGAAGGAGTCTGAAACATTTCAAGTTAAATAAACGAACTGACCCTTAGACAGAATCAACCTTTAAAATCTGATGACAGCAGAGGTGGAGCTGGAAACCATTTTAAAGGATTGGTTTGAAGGCTAAGGTTAAAAAAAACCCCAAACAACTGACAAACCAAAACCAGGAGTAGAGACTTCTGGCAAGACTGGGACCTGCAGGAGGTCTTTTGGACTGTGGAAGAATGGCTCTGAATCACTTAACTGTTATATAGACATTAATTGCTCACTTACAACTTTTTCAGGAAGAAAGGGGTCCTCTGGATAATACCAAAGGAGGGAACTCTTTTTGTTATAAATTATCCCTATTTTTAGTGTGTGAGTGATACCTTGCCTTTCTTTTCCGTTTTCAAATACCTGTCTCTTCAGAAAGCAGCAGATGACCAGGGCAGGAACAGAACAAGGCTGTCTGCCCTTCCTCAATGCCTCTGCCCAGCTGAAAAGAGCAGGGCTTCAAGCACACAGCCAGCACCAGTGACTTACAACTGGCACAAGTAACCCAAACATAACATCCCCCCTCGAACCAAAGCCTCCTCAGGGCAGATAGAAAATAATAACTGCCCCCCCCAACACCCTGGTGTTCCCCAGCACCCAGCAGGGAGAGCAGGAGGGGAGGTGGGGAGCGTGGGCACTCACCACCAGAGCGGGATGCAGAACAGCCCCGGGACAGTGAGCGCCAGCAGCAGCATCCGCCAGTCTCTGATGAAGTAAGCAAACAGTGGCAGCAACATGTAGCCAAATGCAAAAAATATGCAAACTCCTAATGTAGAGAACAGAATACGAACTGATTTGCCAAGAATTTCTGTGCCTGTTTAAAACAAGGGAGGTTGGATTAGCATTTTAACTCTTTCTTTTCAAGCATGACTAAATACTTTATTGCAGTTACGAAAAAAAAAATCAGCTAAACAGTCTTAGAAAAGAGCAGCACAGCACGGACCCACCCCGTACAGAAAAGCTGCTGGGAGTGTTGGGGACCTTCAGATAAAGAAGCTACTTCTGTTTGCTTTGATTAATGCATTTGCAGAGACAGATAAGGACAGGCATGGGGGATGGCCGGCAGACTTCCAGGGGCCTTCCTGACATGCTCCCCCAGGACACAGCCTGCTCCCCCCTCTAGGACACAGCCTGCTCCCCCCTCTAGGACACAGCCTGACTCCCCCTGGACACAGCCTGCTCCCCCACTTAAACCCATCAGGATTTAAGATGCAAGTCACTGCTGGGCACTTCTGGAGGAGCAGAGGTCCGTGGACAACAGACTGACACGGGATGGAAGGATGTGAATTTACAGTGAGGGGAACTGGGAACAAATGTCACATCTATTTCTTGGAACAGAAGGAAGGTTGGAATGTTGGATCAGCACATCACAGGCTGAAGGACACAACCAGGGAAGATACCATCTTCTAGTAATGCTACTCTTCCAGGAGCCGGGCAGCAGTCACTGGAAGCATCCTACAGCCACTGCACCATGCAGCAACCTAAGATCTAGTCATAAAAACTGAGGCTGTTCTAAGGCTTCAAAAGCACCTAAATTCTTTTACAATAAAAAAACCCTTCTTTTACAATAAAACACTTAGCCACTGCTTAGTAAAATCCACAGATGCCCTCAGGTCCACCTCACCCCTCCTTGAGCTCCCAGCCCCAGGGCTACAAGAGCTCTCCCTCACATGAGGAGCACTGCAAGGGCTGGAACTCTCACACTTTGATCTGGACTCAATTAAAAAGCAAAGGACACTGAGCAAACAGGAGGGGCTCAGAAAGTCTGGAGAATGTGCTTTGGTTGTGCAACATGGTAAGAACTCCAATGTTTAATATTGCTGAGAAGATGGAAAAAAATACTCAAGACTGAAAATTCCTCCTAAGAGTTACAAGAATTCTCATTTTAGAAACCTGGGTTAACTGAATAAAGTCACGCTAAGAAAACTGAAAATAACAACTTGTTGGGCTAAAACAAGTGTGGGGGGATAAAATATACCATCTTCCTCTATTGATTGCTCTTGTTTAGATGGGCTGTCTTGGGAGAGGTCTGATATTTGAAACATCAGTTTATACCTTTAAACATTACACTGTCATTTGTGACAATTCAAAGCCAGTATGATATCTGTCAACTCCAATTCCCCTATCTCCTGCCTCTCCTCCCTCATTCTGCTGGCCAAGGAATAACAGCTCTAGGACAATACCAACATGCCTTCACAAATCTCCATTTTTTTATAGTCCCAGAGCACAACAGTTCTGAACACAGAAAACTGGGGCCTAAAGGTAAAAGAGAAATCAACATTCTCTACAGAATTTCACCAACAGCTTGGGGTGGAACTATTCCCACAAAGGTGGGCAGCAGTAGTGCCAAGGGCAGGACGAGCCTGGGTGGCCAAGGATGCTGGAACAGGGTCTGAGCCACACGTGGGAAGGCAACACAGGTTTGGATGCTGAAAGCTGCAATGACAAGGGAAACCTCTGCTGATGTGGCCACTTGAAAAAAGACAACCCTGCCCTTTGGGCTGGAGGGTGGCAGGGCTGCAGCACAGCCAGAGCCAACAGGGCCTTTGCAGGTGGTGGTGCTGCTGCCCTGGTGAGCCCTGACTGCTGTCAGATGAAACATGGGGAGCATCTCCAGCACATCCCATAATGAGCATGGCCTTTCTTAAGGAGTTACCTCTCTTTCTATGGGCATATTCTCCTATCCAGCACCTCTATCACATGCAGCTCCCTGGAAGCTCCTGGGTTTGCCCTGCCATGGGCAGAGGTCACAGAGCTCACTGGGGCACATCAGCTACGCAGGGTAGGGGGAGAAGGACCATCCCCTGTCAGTGCCCTCCTCCTTACCCATGACAGGCAGCTGATGACTCACTTAAATGAGGAAGCCAATGTCTAAGTTAGTTTAGATGCCCTTAGAACCAGGCTCGAGGCTGCCAGGGAACAGCCAGCACTGATGACAAGTGCCCCAGGGAGCCACCGCTGCTCCTACGACTCGACAGAAAAGACGATGCCATGAGACAACACAAGGGGGCAAGGGCCAGCAAACTGCAGCTGAGCAATTCAACAAGCCTGATGTCCTCGGGGAGACCCCGTCCCCTCTCTCAGCAGCAGGAGCATTTGGCTCCAGGCCCTCCCTTGCAGCTTGGCCTCTGCTGAGCCCTGAGGCAGCATCCCAATCCACATCCCGCTGGGTACCACATTCCTGCCTGACCAGAACCTGCACCCCTGTGCTACACAAACCCCATGTGCTCCCAGGAGGATTGTCAGCCAGGCCAGCTCCTGACCCAGTGCTGCACCTCCCAGCCTTGGCTCCAGCTCCATCAGCCCAGCACAGGAGTCAGCTCCCAGCACAGTGGGAGCAGTGGCAGTGGTGACAGCAGTGGCAGCAGCAGTGGCAGTGGTGATGGCAAGAAGGGATCTCCCTGCTGACAGCCTGACCTTAATCCTCCCTCCACACTGGCAGTGGTGACTCACAGCTGCCTGGGGACATGGTGCTGTATCCCCTCCACAGCACTGACTTCATATTATGCCCTTCTGCTCTATTTTTACCCCCATTAAAGCCTCATGTGTAGAAAAGACCAGCATTAACTATTAGTATACAATTTTAATCTAGCTCACATTATGATCTACAAATTGTAATGCTGGCACCAGTGGCTTAAAAACAGCCATAAATATGTATGTGCACATTTTAAAGACAGCTCTTGCAAATCCCAGTTCCCCCCTGACCTGCATCACTGATCCCCACAATCTGCCCCTGCAGCTGCCTTTCCCAAAAACCCTGTGCCCAGTGGGAGACACTTGGGGTCCCCTTCCCCATGGGCTCTTCCCTTCCCTGCAGGGTCCCCAGGCAGTGACTGCAGCCACGCAGCCTCCCAGAGCTGCTGGGTCCTTCTTCCTACACTCCCTGTAGAAAAAAACCCAAACCTTAGCTTCTAAAATTAGGGACTTTATCACTAATCTCAACACTGAGACCAGTGACTTTGTAGCTCCTGGGGCTCTGACACCCACCCAGCTTCCCTGACATTCCCTGTGTCTGGAAGCACTGGTTTGTGCCAAGGTTTTGCACCAGGTATGCACTGACCCCTCTGCAAAGGGGTGCAGAGGCAGGGAAGAACCCAAATGCTTCCTCTTTTTCAGACCTGCTGCTGCTAAACCCTCAACACTGCCTTGAATGTCTTCTCCAAAGAGGAAGGAAATGGATGTTTATCTAGACTCTTCCTGCTCTCTTCTTTTTCTCTCAGCCTACAGAAACTATGGGCTTTAAAGGTCCAAGACCAAAAAAAATCATAGTGGTTTAAAGTAGGAATTGTACCAGTGAAGATTTACCACTGTCTAACTAAATAATGCAGGTTCGGGGGGGGAAATAGTAACAATACATTAAGCAAACATTTAATCTAATGCAGACATATTCATACCCAGTATGAAGGCCACCACGTAGTTTGAGATCTGTCCCATCCCCACTATGAGGAAGAGCACTGTGAACATCTCCCAGCTGGTGGAGAAGATCTGCAGGAAGCTGAAGCCAGTCTGCACAGCCATCGTCAGAAAAAGGATGCTCTTCCTGCCAAACCTTTGGTAAAAGATAAAGATTATTACTGAAAGAGCAGGTATTTATGGAGGGGGCTATGTAAGAGGGCACAAGGGAGCACAAAGTGATGAAGCTTAGCACAACCTGAAGTTTTGTTCATCTTAAACAATTTTATTCTTTTCATATGCACTAAAAAAAATATTAAAATTCCCAAGACTCAGGAAACAAACCAAGAAGAAAAATTAAAAGCAGAAACTTCAGGGAGCCATCAGACAGAGACTAAGGAGACAAGGCAACAGTACAATAGGGAGACACATGAAGATTGCCACACAAAAGTTAGGAGATGTCACATTACTGACAGAGATCCCACAACAATCCAAGGAATAGCTCGTGCAGGAGGGTGTCTGAGCCCTGGGAGAGGCTGCCTGGCTGTGCTGCCACCAGGGCACACACACTCCCTCAGATGCTCCCAGTGGGCACATGGCACCAGTGGGATTTAGTGATTATCTCGTCTCCCTTTCAAACAGTAACAGCAACTGACTTCTGCACTGGGGCAGGAGTCAGGAGATTAAATTCGGATCACATGGAATTTAATGCTAGAAGCTTTAGGATTAAGACTCCCAATGAGTTTTGAAACCCCTCTCCTAAGAGCCCAGAGGAACACTGCTGCCTTATGATATCCTCATTCCCAGGCAGAACCAAAGCAGGATCAGGGATCCCACTATAGTGGTGTGGACATAGGGTTGAGGGCTGTATGGAGAGGGCAGCAGAGAATTGCAGAGAGAGTGTATTTTCTGCATTCAACACTCGTAAGGCCAAAATGTCAACACTGCTCAGATAATGATTAAATGCCTGTAATGATTTTTTTGATACTTTACGTAGTGAGATGGTGCAACACAACTGCTATCCATTTACAGGTTACCTGCTTTTTTCTTCCTCTTGGATGTGCTTACTCTATTTCCAGCAAATCAGCTCTCCTATGCAGAGCTTCCATTCAAAGGGCAAGTTTCTATCCTGCAGCTCTAAGGAGGGATTGTCAGTTAATGTGTGACAAAGAGCAACATCTTTGTCAGATAAAGAAACAATTGCAGATCAAGGGATTTTTGAAGGAGCCAGGGCAGTTACCCCATTTTGATCAAAAGCTCAGAGAATGGCACATTTAACTCCTTTACCCCTCCTAAAAACAAAGCCCGGGCGTGGCCCCGGGGTTGCCCTGCCCACGGCGTTACCTGTCCGAGAGCTGCCCCGAGACGAAGGAGCCGATGAGGACCCCCACGAAGAACAGGGAGGTGGTCAGGGGGGCTTTCCAGTCATCCTCACACACCAGGTTCCACTGCAAGACAAGAGCCTGACTCAGACACAGCCACAGCGCTGGGCACGGGGGCCACTGGCTGGACACTCACACATCTCCAGGCAATTTAATTCCATTTCCCCACGCCACGTTTCCACCCATCGCTGGCACTGCTTTCTCAGTCAGGGTCGCTGCTGGAATGCCCTGCTTTAAAGCACAGGAAAAAAAGGGAAGGTGGTTCCCTCCCCAGGCAACTCCATGAGGCCAAAACCCCTCAGGTGTTTGACAGGACCCCATCCCCGCTGAGGGGGGAGCAGCCAGCAGTGCCAGGCCTGATGGAGCTGGTGTGTGCAGCCCCAGGGCTGCCCTGGCCCTGTTTCCAGCACAATCCCCCACCAGACCCCCGGACCTGGCTCTCCATGGCCCGAGATGTTCCCACCAGTGAAGCAGAGCAATGGAGATGGGTGAAGAACTGTCCTGGCTAGGGACAGCTTCCAGTTACCTGACCTCTGCCAGCACAAAACCTGCTGCATTTCAGTAACCTCTGGGGTTGGCAAAACATATGCAAGAAGAGGCACAGAATGAAATCTCTTCTCCTGCACTGATGTGTTACCAAATTCTGTTCCATCTCATAACCTGCACCACTGACTTGCTGCCCATCACTCAGCCTCATGACTGGAGTTGGCTGGGGCTGGAGATTTGGGACAGAAGCCAACATGGAAACTTCCACCTAAAACTACTCATAACCCCAGACAAGGTTTAAAAAAATAGCAATGGCATCATGAGTCTCTGTCCACCGAAGTTACAGCTGAGCGTGTCTCTGCCACAGCTTGTTCCCATCCTGGTGACTAATCTCCTGGTTAAGGCATGCCTGCCAGGAACACTTAGGGATAGGCTTCAAACATGTCAGTCTCAGATCAGATAATACTACCATAATGGTAATCTAATTAGCTCACAGATCAAAGTATGGCATAATTTTAATAATTAGCCACGGAGAGCGGGGCATCGCCTGCCCCAGCACACACCCTCTGCTCAGGGAGCCCTCGGGCCAAGCCCAGGCAAAGGCAGGGGGTGGAGCAGAATCCTGCCCTCAGGGCTGCTCTGGCTCCTCACTCAGCCACAGGCTACAACAAGGAGCAACTCTTGTGTTACAGAGACACCAGGGTGCCATCAGATGGCACCAGAGTCCTGCCAAAACCAAACCCCCCCTGGCCTGGTGGCTGAGCTTCGCTGCTGCTGCACAACAGGCAGGTAAACCCCAAAGCAAGGGGGGGTGTGGTTTGATGCAGTTTGCTTTGGACTATAACTTAGGAAAGAGATGAAACCAATGCCCATTTTCAGGCAGAACAGAGATACACTGGCAGTGGTGGGGAGCCAGGCACCTCTGCCCTTTGCCCTGCAGGGTAACACCAGCTACATGACAGAAAAACTGAGTTTAAAACACAGCCCATGCCTCCTCCTGAGGAACACACACATCTTCAGTGCAGGAACATGGAGACTGGTGGACTGAAACGTGCCTCCAAGACTTAAATCTGATTAACAACTAAAAGAGCCCTATGGCAGCAGTTGCTGTAAGGTGTCTTCTCATCCCTGCTGGCCAGGGAGAGGTGATGAGGTGTGGCCCCCCCAGACACACACCCGTGGTGATCTTTGCTGTGTTTGGTAAGGTGGATGTGAGCATGTGGGTCAGTGGGGCTCTGGTATGTTCGAGGATGATAGCTGTGAAAAACAGATACGGGATCTGCTTCACCTGTCAGAGAAATGGAGATTTCTGTAAAGAAGTTTGGTGGAAATCAAATCCTCTATTTAAGACAAAACAAAATTCAGCTACAGGAAACAAAGCATTAAAAGTACACTGCAGAGGTGTTTCACCACATCCTGCTGCACCTCCCTGTCCCTGGGGAAAGCTGGTGACATGGCAGAGTTTGCATCTGATACAGACTATTATTAATTACCTGGATTTGAGCACCCCAGTCTGGGGTCACCAGCACAGTACCTGTTCGTAGACCTTCAGACTTGAGTCAATCAGGGTTAAGGATCAGTGTTTTTAAAATGCCTCCACGTGCCAAAGGCACTTTGGCTGCAAAGCAAACCCAGCTAAATAATAACTTGTCCATAAAACTGCATTGCCTCCTTGGTGCCAATTGCCTCCTACCCAGGTGTTCACTCTCCCTTTTCCCATGACATACTGCACAGCCAGCAAAAATTCACTGCACAGGGTCAAGTCTTTCAGATTTGGGGGATGTGATAAAGAGCACCCAGCAGTTGGTTTTCTGGAGAGGGGCTGCTGTCTGCAGCAACTCACTGCATGTGGCCAGAACACACACAAACACACCAAGTCCATCCGGCTCCAAATATGCCTTGGAGTGAAGCTGCTGAGTGAACAAACCCCACCACCTATTTTAGGACCTTGGCAATGCAACCCTACCCCACAGGTACAGCTCATCTCCCCAGTGCCACCTCCCACCCCACAGACACTGGCTCTGGCTGAGGCTCGTGCCCTGGCACTGCACAGGGATCAAGCACATGTTGACACGGGGAGGTTTCACTCCTGCTCCAATGTAGAGGGAAAAGTGAAAAGTAACTTATTTGACCTCCTCCTCAGAGGCTGCATCCATCACAGCCAGCACCACACATGGGCATGGGAGCTACAGCCACAGCTGAACTATCTACAGCTACAACTTCCAAACTGTCTCTACTGGACTAATTATTCATTAACCAGAAAATAAGTAATTCTGAAATGTCCCTAGCTAAGCATATTGGAGAGCAAAGTTCATGTAAGGTTCCAAAGAAGAGCTCTGAATGCAGGAATAGGAGCTGCTCAAGAACACTGTTATTACATCACTTAATTCCCATCAAATCCCTCCAACCCTTTCCCACAGCAGTGGGTGGAAAAGCTTTCTGAAAAACTGAAACTACTGGATAAGGTGTCCTGACTGCCTGAAGAGACCCAGCCACCTGCATTCTCAGTCAGAAATCACTCATTAACCCTCCTGAGAACCAGCCCACTCACATCAGAGGAGAAAACACTAATGGAGCCTTGTGTAAATGGCCAGGGCTGTAAACCAGGGAAAATCTGAGCTGGTTTACAAGAATAAATCTGAAGATGAATAACTCAAGAGGTATTAATTATTCACAGATGGCTCCATCCTGCTCCCTGAGCACAAGGTCCAGCAATGAGACCAGCTCTGCTTGGTGCACAAGTGATGAGCACAGGCACCTCCTGCCCGTGCACAGGGTGTGTTCCCGGGGCTGGGCAGGGCTGCTCTCCACTGATGGAAAAATCCATAAGGGAACAAAAAGACCTTTAGATGCCTTCAAACCACAGTAGCTCCTACCCAGCCTCTCGTCTCTGCCAGTTCCAAAAGCTTCTAATTTCTGCCTTTGCTGACAGTCAGTGCCAGGGCTGGGACAGGGACTGAGCAGGGTGGCACAGGTGACAGGAGAGCAGCCCCAGTACAGCCCCTGGCACTCACCCTGCCCCTCACAGGGGTCTCTCAGTGTGTCTGGGGCACACACCATGCCCAGGGTGTCCCAGGGAGCAGTGCTGGGTGACAACCCGCCTCAAGGGAACTAACTGGATGCTGATGCCCTGCTCCAAAGAGCAGAACTGGTGCTGGTGCTGGCCCTTGAACCTCCAATTAGTGTCAGCTCTGAGCATCGTGATCTGGAAGTAAAACATTAGTAGGTTAAGTTCCAGAAAAGAACACCAATGAGCAGGGCCTGGGAGCCTGCCAAGGGGAAAAGGGAGCCCTGCAGCCCCTTCACCTCAGCTGTGGGATCACACTGGACCCCACAGTGACCCACATTTCCACCTGCTCACCATCACACTCAGAGCCTCTTCCATGTCACCCTGGCCTGATGGTCACCTCTTCACCTGTGCTGTGGGCACGGTCACTTCTGCCCATCATCTCCATTTTCAGACAAGCAGATGACTGAGTCTGTGAGGACACGTTAAACCATGGCAACAGAGAACCCCAGACCAAGTAACATGGGTGCTGAGCTGGCATCTCCCAGTTCCCTTCAAGCAGCAGTAATAACAGGATTTCATGCAACTGCACGAATCAAATTAAATCTCCAGCAATTAATCCTGTGCCATCAAGTTCTGCTCCTCAACTGAGTTTTTGAACTGAAGCTGTTTCTTCCCTGAGCTCTCCTGATGGCATGTCCTGGCTTGTCTTTCCTAATACAGAGAAAAATATTGGGTACAAAAATAAACATCTCAAATTTAACTGAACTGCCTCTTTTCAGCATTTCATCAGTGCCTGTTTTCCTTGTTTTGAAACCAAATTCTGTATTTTTTCCAAATGTCCATGACAATTTTAAAACAAAACAAGTATCCTTCTTTTCCATCTGGCTTACAGATGGGAACCTGGCACTTGGTTTCCATCTCTGGATGTGCTATTGCCTCTCTGGCACACCCCAAGCCTTGTGGCAAACCCCACTGCTGTGTCCCATCTGGATCCCACACAGAATGCTCTTGTTTGGCATCTGCCAACACAACTTATTTACTGGTCATTAAGAAGTAATCACATTTCTCCTCCTTTTGCTTAATTTACTGCCTCTCTCAGAGCAAGCACCAACTCCAAACCAGAGCCTATGAATTCACAGACAGCCCAGGATAAACTGGCCTCCCTCTGGCAGTGAGTGTGGCACTACCTCTGCCAGTGGTGACTACCAGGCACCCACCAGGCAGCCGTGCCAGCCCACGGGTTACAGCTGGGCATGTCTGTGTGCAGCGTGGGCAGCACCCACGGCCAAGCAGCTCGACCTGGTGTCATGAGGGATCCCCGACTGCCAGCACAGCAGCAAGAGGTGTCACCTGTGCCAGTGACTTTGCTTCGGGCAGGTTGGAGGTTGGCACACCCTGCCCACGTCCTGCCCTCCTGGCATGTGGCTGAGCCCACCTCTGCCCACCCCCAGCACAGACCCTCCTCCCGTGTCCCCAGGGCACAGACCCCTCGCCTCTCCTTCAGGACCTTTCCCGGCTGTGCCACTGGGCAATGTTTTTTGGTAGCAGCTGTTGCTGAGTCACAGGACTCGTGAGGAGGGTTACACAGCCACTCCCTGTCACGCAGCCCGAGGGTGAGCCATCAGTGCCTGACCAGGGCAGCCCTTGGCTACCTGGGACACGCTGAAGGACCGCGGAGCCTGCCAGGGGCCAAGTCCAAGCATTGCCTGGCATAAGGGTGAGCCCTGGAACCTCTGGAAGCCCTTGCACAATGTAGAAGAGCAGCAGCAATCCTGCAGCTGTAGCGGAATCAGTCTCGTTCTCTAACAGAGCTCCACGCTCCCTGCCCGCACGGGCAGAGGCAGAACAGCACGACCCTGCCACCACACCGCCAAACGAGCGCTTATGTGACCTGTCACCGCTGAGGTTCTCACAAGACACCCCTTACAGACGACGCCCCTGCAGAGCCTTACAAACCCTGCCTGGCTGCCCCGGGTCAGGCTCCGGCAGGAGCGACAGAGCACCTGCCTCGCCCCAACCCACCCATTCCAGCACCGACGGCCACCGAGACCACGGCAGGGCACGGGGTGCGGGGCCAGCGAGAGCCCACCCTGCTCTGGCCACAGCCGGGCTGGCTGTGTGTTTATGGGACCGCGTCCGCGTCCCCTTCACCGCTGCACCGAGAACGAACAATCCCATCGCATACACAGTTCACCGGGACGGTCAGCGTGTGGCAGAAGGAAACTATCACGCTTCTATTTTCAGCCTCTGCCTCCCCCTCCACACAAACATCTCTCCGAGCAAAAACAAACTGGAAAACACAGCTGAGATGGCGAAGGCGAGCGGCTCCTCCAGCAACCTTCACCCCCGGCATCCCTCCCGCTCCCCGCAGCATCGTGCCCAGACGGACCTTTCCCACAGGCGCTTCACCCGCTGGCTCCTGCTCCCTGTGCACCCTCCCCAAGGCAGAAGAAGCCACCCCAGGGCCGGGCACAGCCCGAGGGTGGGATGTCCCATCCCCGCGCACCTCGGTGACGATGGTGGAGCGGTACACGTCCCGGCTGTACTCCCAGCCGTCCAGGCACGGCTCCTGCTCCAGCGTCTCCAGCTCCACGTCGGAGCCGGGCCGCAGCCCCAGCGCCGAGAAGTTGGCGAGCGCGGCCAGGCGGTAGCGGCGGCAGCGGCTCGGGGCCGCCCGCCCGTCCCGCAGCTCCAGCGGGATGCTGGCGTTGAGCCACTCGCCGCTCAGGTTGGCCCCGCGGGGCACGGCGCACCGGTGCTCGGGGGTGCCGGCCAGGAACACGGCCGACATCCCGTTGAAGCCGTTGGGGATGATGCTGGCGCTGAGCAGGAAGAAGATGAGGCGCTGGAAGAGGCCCCACTCGCCCAGGAAGGCGGTGACCGCATCGTAGTCGCGCATGGCGAGCGCGGGCTCCGCGGCTGTCCCGCGGCTCCGGGCGCTCCGAGGGGGCGGCCCCGGCCCGGCCCGGCCCCCCCGGGGCGGTGCGTCCTGTCCCGGCCCCCGGGCCGGCCGGGGGTTCGCTCCGACCCCGCCTCCCGCGGCATCCCCGGAGCCTCCCCGGGCACCGCGTGGGCACCGGCTCCGGAGCCTTCCCGGGAGGCGGTTCCCGTTTTTTTCCATTTCACCCGTTTATTTCCCTGGGCACCTGCGGCCGCAGCCGCGCCGGGCGGTGCCGGTACCGGCGGGGCGAGATCAGCGCCCGGGGATCGCCCGGGGGCGATGGCCCCGCCGCCCCCAGCTCGCCCCCAGCCCCGAATCCACCTCTTTCGGGGACCCACGCCAGGCTTCCCCTGTGTTGCCGCTGCAAGATGGAGGCACAATCGCACCATCCCTGCGGCAGCGGGCACAGCCGGGAATCACGGGACCGGTTAATGGACAGGGACCTGCATCAGCGATCCATCAGATGGGAGCTGGGGGGGGGCTGCCGGGGCCGGCGGGGTCTCTCTCCCTGCAGCACCCCACGAAACGTAAGAGCCAGCAGTGATGTGATCCCTCCTACACACCGGCACAGAGGAAAACAAGGATCACGCAGCTGTAGGAATGAAACGTGCTCACAGCCCCTGAAATTCCGTCCCTAACTGCAGCCCTTTGCTTTTCCCCAGCAGTGTTTATTCTCGGCAGCTGACAAGGTCAGCCGTGCCTGCCCAAGGAGCCTGTAGCTGCGCTGGCCTCGGGAGAGGTGCTTTTTATATTCCTGTCTCCTGTCCATTAACTATTCTTGCTCTACACGACTCCGGCTTTGCCTGCAGTCGAATACATGGATAGCTGGCAAAGCCATTTCAGCAATCTGAGCAATGCTGTCACCTTCTGAAATAACTCAGGGGACACTCAGAACCCCGGTGGTGTCTAAACCGAGCACAGCACTCGCCCTGCTCACACAATACAGGTCCCTGGAGGTGTGGGCAGGGTACCTGTGTCAGGCTGTGCCCAGCCAAGGATGCCCATGCTGTGGGTGAGGGGAAGCTGGGAAGCATCTCTCCAGCAGAAATGATCAGAGGCTGCTGTGGGTGCGTGGGAAGGAGGCACGGAGAGGAAGCAATGGCTCAGCAGTGCCTGGGGAGGAGAAGCAGATGGCAACATTTATCTGGCCGGGCAGTGATCCACTGCTGCTTGGGGTATGGCATGAAGAGCCCACGTCATGGGAAGATTCAGATGCCTCCTGTTTGGAGAGAGGCTCGAGGTGGCAAATCCACGCCAGGCCTGAGCCACTGCACGGCCAAAGCTGTCCCCAGTGATAAGAGCAGGGTGGGGGCCAGCTGGGGCAGATCAGGGGCTCACAGGCAGCAGCAGCAGCAGCAGAAGCAGAGCAACACCTGCCCTGCCCTGGGGCTGTGCAAGAACCATGGTAAAGACAGGACATGCATGCCTGCCCCCGTGGGGAAATAAGGGATGAGAGTGCATTGTTGTAAGCATTAATGTTAATGCAATCTTAGTAATTAATCAGTCAACAGTAGTTTTTTACAGAGGACTAATTTGCAATTCTCAGAAATAGCTGTGGTTAGGCTGCAAATTTAGCATATCAAAAGTAAGTGGTAGACACATATGACATGCTCAGGTTTATCTGGTTTGCAGATGAATCCTTAATGTATTCTAAATTTTATGTGTTCAACATGAAAACACCACAGGTTTTTCTCTTTTACTGTGAATCTACATAAATTAGTTCTTACAGAAATCCCTCATGTTCTGACCAGTGCTGCCACAGCACAACGAGCTCCTGCTGCAATTGTCAGAGCTTTTCCTTGGTGCTCCCCAGACTGCAAACCCCACTTGTGATCCAACATCAGGGATGCTTTAACCCAAGTATGGAGACTATGAAAACCACACACAGTAGTGGCCAGTGAATGGCTTGGACAGTTGTGGAGCAAATTCACCGTAGAGAAGGACCAGTCCTTGTTCAGTGAGGTGGGGGTCAGTCTCTTCTCCCAAGGAACAGGAGATAGGACAAGAGAAAACCATCTCAAGTTGCACCAGGGGAGGTTTAGATTTGATATTAGGGAAAATCATCATGAAAAGGATTATCAAGCACTGGCACAGGCAGTGGTGAAGTCACCATCATCCCTGGAGGGATTTAACAGACATGTAGATATGGCACTTGGGGACATGGTTTAGTGGTGGGCTTGGTAGTGCTGGGGACTTTTTTCATCTCAACTATTCTATGATTACACCACAGCCTTATAAAACACGCTTTCAGCTATTAGATGAAGAGCAGAATGCGGGAAACGAGGTCAAGGAGATTCCTGTAAAGCGAAACCAGATGCCAAGGAGCTGGCAGAGGGAGAGAGGAGTAACTCAGCACAGGGGGAGAAGGAGCAAACCTTTGCATGGCTGAGACATCACCTCTGGTGCAAATGCTTTGTCTTGTGGAAGCAGGAAGGACACCAAGGGGCTGCTGGATGTCCCAGGCTGTCCCCCCAGCAGCAGAACAGCCCAGCTCCTGCTCACACACAGTAACATCCCCCTCCCCCTGTGTACACTGTGCCACCCTCGGCACCAGAGCTCCTGCTCTGCTCCGGGCTGGGGGGTGCTGCTCCTCCTGCCTGGGCAAAGCCCCTCTCAAGGGATCCTCTGCCTTGGTGGGGACAACTGTGTCATCCTCCTAGCAGCCGTCTCGAGAGCTGGGAATTGGGAAAGCTCATGAGAATTCCGAGTTCTGTGGATTGTGTAGCACTTGGATCATGGGGAAGCTTCCTTATTGATGGGGCAAAGCAAGACCCATTTTGTACATTTGCAGTGTGTCCTCCCAGGGGCTCTGTGCCAGGTGCTGGAGCACCTCTGTCACCCTGCTGGAGTGTGGGGCAGCCCTGCTCTGCCCAAGGCCCTGGCCTCACCCTCCTGGCTGCCTGCTGCCTGTCCTGGAGCGGGTGATCATGTCCATCAGGGCCACATTCCGCTGGACCAATAGCATCTGGGAAAAAATGATCTTTGGCAGCCTTTGCAAAGGCTCTTGACTCATCTCAGCCCTGCTGCTCTCTCAGCAATGCACTGTAAGTACCCCCAGAGCAGCACTGAGGGCTGCCTGGTGCCAGGCTCGCTGAAATCCCATTTACGGGACTCGGAGCTCTGAGGGGCACTGTGGCCATCACTGCCCAGTTCCCGGCAGTGGTGCATGAACTTTTCCCCTCCTAAGCAGAGCCAGGAGACAAGCACTCAGGGTGATTATTTTTAATCTTATTTCTGATAGGAACCCTGTGACAGAGATGGAGCACCTGCGTGAGAATTGGGGATAAACCCCCCAAGCAACACCTACTCAGGTGGAGTCAGCTTTTCCAAGACTATCCACCACTCACCAAGGACTTTATTAAATAGTTTTCCCTGGTGCAATGTCACTCCAGCCAGGGCAGGGACGCTGCTTTGGCCCTGGCAGGGACCAGCACACGTGTGCTCCCAGCACAGCGGTGTGGCAGGAGCAGAGCACTGAGGCACCTGTGCCCTGGGGCAGCACCCATGTCCTGCTGCCCTGGCCCTACACCAGGGCTGCACCAGAGCAACAGGGATGGCCAGGGATCCTGCCAGAGGAGAGGCGGGATCAAGCCCATCCCCGCGGTGTAAAACCACCTCTCCCAGAGCGATCTTTGCCAGAGGTTTCCCAAAGCGCTGTCCTCCCAAGGGATTTAGCTGTTACCACCCAGGAACCATCCCACCACGCCGGGCTTCCTCTCAGCGCCGGCTCTTCCCCCGCCCTGCCCGAACCCGCTGGATATTCTGGGTTCCATCACTAGATGGTGCCGGAGACAGCGCAGCGCCTGCCTGGAGCTGCGCCTGGACCACGGCCCTGCACGGGCACCCCCTCTGCCCCTCACCTACCCCCCCATCCTACCCAGCCCCCTGCACCCCCTCTGCCCCTCACCTACCCCCTCCATCCTACCCAGCCCCCTGCACCCCCTCTGCCCCTCACCTACCCCCTCCATCCTACCCAGCCCCCTGCACCCCAGGCACACCCCTTTACCGCTCTCTCCCCTACACATCCCATACGTTCCTCTGCATGTCACACACCCGATGTGCTCCTTTGCACCCCCTGTGCTCCCCCCGATGCTGGAAACGCCCTGGGACCCCCTGCCTGGGGAGCCGGGAGGCTGCACCCCACGGACAGATCAGACAGCCCTGGGAGGGACAGGGTGGCCGGTGTGCCTGGGGACAGGAGCAGGGTGTGGGTGGCTGCCCGAGGGCCCCCCAGGCAGCTTTTCCAGTGACGGTGCTCAGTGTCCCCAGCCCTGCCCTCCCGTGGTCCCACAGTGCCAGCAGCTTGTGTCTCCTCTGGGTCCATCAGCTCAGGGAGGACATATTTGTCACTGGCCTCCTGGAACCCCCCTCAGGTTTGGCAGTGAAGAACTAAGGTGTTTCTTCAGAAGAGAGTTATTCTCATTAATAAAGCCCAAAGCCTGAACCGGGCTCGAGCTTCGCACAGTAACGTGACCCTGTGCACATCAACTGCCCCGAGAGCAGTGCTGGCCCCAGCCCAGGCCCTCCCCACTGCCCTCCCCGCACAAGGAACTGCTTTAGGACTGCCTCAAAATTCAAAATATTTAAGTGTCCTGGTGGGAGAAGCTGCTCCCGGGCTGGAAGAGCTCTGTGGGTGTTTCCTAGGGAGAAACAGAGAGGCAGAACAACTTGCACAGAAGTTTCTTTAGAGTTAGGAGCAGTTTTCTGGGTTTACTATGCATGTGGGGAAGATTTTTTTTTGCCTAAAGTAATTAAAATAGCCTCTTTCACACATGAGAAAGGGAGGAGAGGGAACTTTTCCAAAAAGCCTCTTTCCCTCTACCCCCCTCCTATGGCACAAAGACTTTTATCCTCATAGAAATGGACCAGCTGAGATTTTTTAGAGTTCCTGGGGCAGCCAGCCAGTAACAAAAGCAAAGTTAAACAACTCCAAACAAAAGCTGCAGCAGAATGGGGGTGTGGTGGTGGAAATAATGCCTGGCTAAGTAGGAAACTTTAATGATGATACATGGAAAAAGTTAAACAATTAGAACTTGAATCAGACTGGCCCGGATCCCACTTTTAGTTAATAAATGCTGTGCTTCATCACAGAGCTTACACCTCTTTTTTTCTAAAGCAGGGAGGAGGCTCCCCGTGTTGGGCTGGCCACAGTGTCTGTGTGGGCAGCAGGAGGTCTGGGGGACCCCAAGGCTGCTCAGGCCCCCGTGTCCCCCCAGTCTTGCCCCTGGGGATCACCCTGTGGGGCTGAAGCCCCCCCAGCAGCAATGCCCAGGGCAGAGGGGCCAGGGAGGGCAGTGGCTAAACCACAGAAACACACCCATCACATGTGTGCATTCAAGGGTGAAAAGAAAACCACTAATTGGAGAGTCATAAGCATGTTAATTATTTGAATATGTGCACTAATTAGACATGGAGTTACACAGCCCCACACTATGGAAATCTTTCCTGCCACATGCAGATCCTCAGAGGCTTTGTCTTTTAAATATTTTAGGCACATACAAGCAACAATTTCCATATATGAACACTTGCCAAATAAAACCTTTTAGGTTAACATCTATTGGAGGCACTTACCTCACATCCCTTCTGACTTTCCCACACACCAATGAATCAAATCCCAATCAGCTATTAAAACCACATTCAAATCCCCATCAGCTATTAAAACCAGCCCCATGTGGACTGAGCTACAGAAGCAAACATCCCTCTGACAGGGCTGCTCATCCCAGCTTGCCCTCACCTCCCAGTCCCCCACACTCCCACGACCCATGGGCTTCTGTGCTCCCAGGGTCAGCTGTAACCTCCTCTTGGGAAGAAGGCCTGGATCACTCCAGCAGTGGCAGGGCAGTGACAGCCCCAGCCCCACAGAGCCGTGGGTCCCATCTGGTGACAGCCTGGGCCATCAGGCAGGAGCAGGTTCCCTTGGAGTGTCACTGGGACTGGTTAAACATTGCCAAAAACCCCAAGTCACTGGCCTTGTGCAGGGGCAGATGTGGTGAAGCTCTGGACCATCACAGGAGGAGCTGGGTCACACTGGGGACAGGAGCCAGGCACCAGTGCAGACACGATGGCCCTTCCCATCTCCACACCCTACAGGATGCAGGGTCCCAGGAAGGTCTCATGAGTTAAAAACACAACCAACTCCCCACCAAAACACAGGCCAAACTTCAGACAAGCTCTCAGTGCCCCGTGAAAAGCTCAGCTGTCTCCAAGATGCTTTTTGAAGTTTATCCCATGTCCTCCTCACCTGGGTGCTGAGAGATCCCCACATGAAGGAGTCCTGCCCCAGGAGAGACCCACCAGGGACCAGGCAAAGGCCAAGCTAAGTGATAAACCAAACAGTACACTTTTATTTTGTATTTGATACAAAATGCACCCTCCCCATGTTTTACAGAGTTAAACAGCATTACCTGGTGACACAAAAGGTGACACTCGCTTGTGGCAGCTCCTGCAAACCCCACAATGGGAATGAGGTGCCTGAAGCCAGGAATCAGTGTGCCCTGGGATGGGGTTGTATGAGGCAGCTCCAAGCTCCACAGGGGGATCAAGTGAATTGATTACTCCTGAGAAGGGGTATCACAAGATGCCATGTGGAAAAACTGATCTGTGGGAACTTGGGGTCAAATTGAAAGCAAAGCCCCATGCCCAGCAGTCCCAGTGCTGTACTGGTATGGCAGCCAAGCAAGACTACCAAGGGTGCCCTGCCAGCAGCCTGCTCAGAGGGGTGTTTAAAATGAAGGCAATGAACCAATTTATGAATTTCTTGGTGTTCCCTGTGCCAGGGCTGCAGACCCCTGGCATCCCACAGGACATGGCCACCATGCAGGTGGAGTCAAACAGGGACAAGAGCCCCAGGGAGTGACAAACAGCACCACTGGCAGCTGTGACCATCTGCCTGGAAAATGGAGACAAGCCCCTGTGCCATTTGTGTCATGAGTTCCCCATCACTCAGTTGAGCTGCATTTACTCCTGGGTTTGGGGGAAGCCTGAACTTTCAAGCTACAGGCACAAGAGTTTGACCCAGCAACGTGTGGGGATTGCAGCTGGACAGGAGCTGCTCAGTCCCTGCAAATCTCTGTGTGAAGAGGTCTAGATGTAGCTCAGTAACACCCTAAAATCCCTTCTGAGGTGCAGAACCTGTAAGGAAGAAATTGCCTGCTCAGCCCCAACTGGGATCATGCTCCCAACCCTCCTCCAGTCCCAATTTTCCCTGTTATGGAGAGCCAGAAGGGGAAGGGGTGCTTTGCCCATCACCCCATTTCTTATTTTCCTTCTCCTTGGAAGGAAAGTGAGCACAGACATTTTATTTTTCTTCCCCACATCCTCCCTCTCCCAGAGTGAAGAGAAAGAGCAGGGAGGCTGTTGCAAAGCAGAAATAACCTCGTGGTACTGAACACAGGCTCCCATCACCACCCACAGCAGCACCCAGCTGGGGACTAAACTCTCTCTCCTCCAAGCACTAACATGAAAAAAACCACATTTCTCTAATAAAGCAACATCGCAAAAAACCACATTTATCTAAAAAAAGCAACATCTCAAAATCCACAAAAACTTTTCCCCTCAAATAAAGTGGATGATGGACTTGACTGAAAGCACAGCCTTGGGACATGGGTATAAATCTAATCCTGCTGCCTTGGGACTCACCCCAGCTCCAGTTACTCCCCAAGTGCCTGGAGGGATTTCATCCCTCTCTCCCTGCTGGGAGGCAGACCCAGATGGCAGCAGTCTGAGGATCTAGAAATAAAGGACTACAAAAATACAGCAAAAAACGGGAAGAGTCAGAATGGCCAAAGCAAGGGCAGCTGGGGCAGGAGTGCGGGAAGTGGGGATATCCAAAGGGTGCTCCAGGCTATTTCAGTGTCCTTTAAAGGTGTGCTTGGGTGATTAGGTGACAGAAAACAACTGAATTAGGAGCGGAAAAAGGAAGAGAAAAGCCTTGTCACAGGCTCAAGTGTGGAGATCTCTTGGGGAGCTCTAATCAGTCTGTCTCAGCCTCCAACTGCAGTGCCCCGATCCAGAGAATTTCACTATAATTAGTGCTTTAAGAGATCACCCTTCCTTAGCACAGCTGCTGGGATGGGGCTGAGCTGGGGACCCACTGATACCACATCCTGACTCCCAGGGGGTCAATTTTTAATACCTGGGACAATGACAGGGCAGGAGATTAGGGTCAGGATATAGGAGTCAGCTTCTCTTGTTAAAGTGCCTTATTTTCTTCGAGCTTTTAAAACATCTTCCTTGCTTTTTAATTACAGGGAGGGCACACACACAAAAAAAAGGAATACTGGTTTTATATGAAACAGAGTAGAGAATTAATCAATATTTACACAGATCTTGGACAAGGTTATGGCACAGACTAATAACCCAACGCAGCAACCCAAAAAGCAGAGTGTCAAAAAGAAGGGAAAAACCTGTTCTTAAGCTTTCAACACCATCCCCCGGAGATCCCAAGTGTACAGGGCTTTATCTGGGAGCAGGCAGTTTGCCTCGGGCTGTGGTAGCCGGGGGTGATCGCAGCCGGCGCAGGACGTGGGTGGGCTCTGGGCTCGGCCCGACCTCTGCAGAGCACAGCCCAGGCTTAGACCAGTTCGACTTTAGCGTTGGGATAAACAGCCACCACGTCATAGCCCTCGGGGGGCTTAACCCTCTCCTTGGCGTGGGTCTCGCAGTACAGCTGCTCCTCGATGAAGAAATACCCCCTCTGCTTCAGGTTGAGGCCGCAGTCGTCGCACATGAAGCACTCGGGGTGGTAGAGCTTGTCCCGAGCCTTGACGATGGTGCCCCTGGAGAGACGGGGAGAGCTCAGTGAGACACAGGGAACGAGCACCGACAGCTTGTCCTGCTGCCTGCAGTGAGATGGCACTCAGGGACATGTCAGGGGGTTGTCGTGGGTTTCCATCCCGACACCTCAGCCCACCCGAAGCTGCCACGCTGCTCCAGGAGTGGTTCCACGGGATTTCTGCAGGAAGGGACACCCCGTGTGCTGCAGCACTGCCCCACAGCTCGCTGCAAAGCAGAGCCCTAAATATGTGCCCTCAGCCTGGCCCTGCACATCAGGAACCAGCCGTGGCACTGCAGCTCGTGCACAGACCCTCAGCCCACGGCACCAGCAGGAACACGGGTACAGGCTGGCACAGCCCACACTCAGCCAGCAGGGCTGGCATGAGCAGGATGTAAATTACAACAGAACATAAATCACGACAGACCATAAATTACAGCAGAACAGAGCAGTAAAATGCCTGTATTCTCTGAAATCAGACCCAACATCCATCTGTCAGAGAGCAACTCTTCAACAAGCAAACAAAACTAACCCACAACCCTCTTCTACTCGACCCTTAAGGCGTTTCTCCCTCTGTGAGGCAGCGAAGTGCCAGCTCCACGCTGCTATTCATAGTCCCTGGGCAGCTACTACGATAAGCAGGGCAGAAACCACCCCATCAATCACCCCTGTTTTGCTGTGAGATTCCCTTAAAAGGGGCAATCCAAAATGTATTCCTCAATTCCAGGTTTATATAAGGTTAGAAAAAAAAAAAACCCAGAAAGGGGCCTGAATGTATTCTGCTGTGAACCCCAACCCGTGTGCCCGGCAGGACCCACCCCGGCCGTGTCCCCTGCCCGGGGCTCTCCAGGCCTGGCACTTACACGATGCCGTTCCCGCAGCGGGTGCACTCCGGGAGCATCTGCAGCCCCGACATGGCCCCGCCCAGCTTCGGCACCGGGGGCTTCATGTTGCGGGGGCTGCTCAGTCTGTCGAGCTTTTCACCTGCCAAGAGTTATAAACAGATAAATGGATTGAAAACTCCATCTCTCACGGCTTTGGTTTTGCTTTTTTTTTTTTTTTTAAGGAGTCAGATGAGTCTCTGCCTGCCACAAGAGAACCTGCAACTTCCTTGGAAGTTCTGGGACAGCACCAGCTCAGTACCTGGACCTTGTCAAAAGGCAAAGCAGCTGTGATCTAGAGATAGGAGGCGAATTTGGGTGTAATACTGTTTAGTGAGTTGAGAAAGATAAATAGCAAAGAGCTGAGAAAAGCTCCAGAAAGGAGAGGTTCCATCACACCAACATTTTGGGTGCACTTGGTAGATCCACTGTCACTCAAGGAGATAGAGAGGAAAACCTTTTGGAGAATGAGGCAAATTAAAACAAACAGTAATAGAATCACATGCATTTTTCTTCCTAGAGCGCTCATTTAAGCTCAAATTATCTAAACCAAAATATTGTGATAGAAGATAAGGTCTTCTGGGCCACTAAGCCTCCTTTCATAGAAAGGTCCAACACAGGAAAGGAAGCAATGAAGATTTTGGGCATATGAACAATATCAGAGCAGAGTTTTCAGTGTTGCAGCCCCCTCCCTACAGACCATCTACCATCTGCCCTTGTATTTTGGACAACACCAACACACTTGTTGCCAACCCCTGGGACACTTAAAAGCTTCCAGAATCCACTGCACGGTTTTCCATGGCTCACAACTGACTGGTCTGTTTGGTAGGTATTGATCTGTGGTTCCTCTGTGACGGCCTGAGGTTGTAGAAGGGAAAAGCTCATGAAAAAGGACAATGTATTTTAGTCCATCAGCTGACAGAGTTTGGAAAAGCAGTAGAGGAGCTCTTGGATGAACAAGCCGTTCTCCAGTGTTCTGACTTCCCACTCTCCTGAGCTTCCAGAGTATTTCAGTCCATCTTCAGTGACTGCTTCCAGCCCTCAAGCCCAGGGAGTCTCTGCAGGGCACAGGCATGTCTGACCCAGGTGTCTGCATGCATTGTTCTGGTTTTGGAAACTTTAGAGCAAAATCCAGTGGAAGCACCTCCCACGGACCCAGAAATGTTTCTGCCTTTCCTAGAGGGAATTTTTAGTGCCTGGAGCCAGTGCTTCATCACTCCTGGCTGCTCCCTGACCCCGTGCAAGTTCACATGGTACACTTGGAAGGGCAGAGCTCAGCAAAGCTCCTTCCATGGAGAGATCCCTGCTCCCCCATCCAGCGTGCCCAGGGAAGCCTGCTGTCCTGGGCCTGCCTGGGAGGAGGGTGCACACCCGACTCCCCCTGGGGTGCACAGGCACCCCCAACCACAGCCCCCTCTCCAGCCACAGCTCTGATCCAGGGGCCAATGCTGACAGCGCTCCCAGCCAAGGGAACAAAACCAAAAAGGACCAATTCCCCACCAACCCCCACTTCCCAAGGTATAACACAGTGTTTGGTGATGCCAAGAGCCTTGATACATGTGAGTGCCTGCCCAGGAGCAGAGGGGGGCTGCTCCACCCCAGGGTTCCCCCCAGTGCTCAGCTGGGTCCAGCCAAGCCTCCATCAAGTCCTTCCGCTGCCTTGCTGGGAATAAACTGAAACAGCTGCTGGAGCTGTTGGCTTCCCCCAGCGGGAGACAAGGAGTGCTTGGACTAGACATGCTCATCTGCCAACATTTAACAGTTAAGCTGTCACTGTCTCTCATACTGAGTGCTTGGATAAGCTGCTTAAAAAAGAAGAGAAAGGGGGGGAAGAGAAAGAAAAAGATTTTACAGCAAAATGAACCCTGTAGAGAGGGCTGCTTCCCATCTTCCCAAACGATGGATTGTTTCCTTCTACTTACCAGCCCACAGTCTCATTGTGATTTATGGTCCTCAGCAAGGCAGGGAGATGCTTTAATTCCACAACCTCAACCATTGCTGTCCCCGTTATGGCTGCAGTGAAGGAGGCTCTCCCCAGCCTCCTTCCTGGGCCATGGGCACTTAAGTGCTGTTGTTCCTCCAGCCTCCACCCCAGCACAAAGCATTGCTCCCTAAGGGGGTGGGATGGGGCTGCAATGCTTCCAGCAGAAACACATTCCATATAAAACAGGTTGTTGTCTGAGACACTCGGCTCCTCTGGAGAGGAGAGCTTGACTTTAAAAGGCTAGGGTCAAAATGTATAATTTTAGGCTTAAGGAAAAAGGAGCAGGGGTGGCAGCTGTAAACCAACCCAGCCAGGAACACTCCTGGGGATTGAGAGCGTGCTGGAACATCAGAGAGCTTTGTGCCAGCAGAGATGCTTTTCACTTAATTTCTCATCCCTTATGAATAAACAGCGTCGGAACGACCAAGGCACGAGTGAGGCTGTGCCTGCAGGCACTCACACGTCCCCTGCACACAGCTGAGGGGCAGGGAGGGTGGCAGAGCCCTGGGAGGTGACAGTGACTGCCCCAGCCTGTCCCATGCTGGCTGGTACCCGACAGCAGCTCGGGCTCCAGCAGAACACGTGGTGCTGCACTGGGGATGGGCTGGTGCCAAGAGAGGGCTGGGATGAGCAGACAGCCAGGACTGGCTGGGACAGTCCCAGGATGTGGGGACTGCCTTGGCACCTCTTTGTCCTCCGTTCCCCCAGCCCGCAGCCTTTTCTTTCTCCCCTCCTCTCAGCACTGGGTTGCTGCCAGCCCAGGGCTGCAGGATGCAGGGGAAGGCAGGAGCAAACCAGTAAAGCTTTTATTCCCTTTCCCTGGCACAGAGAAGGGAGGAAGGCAGCAGTGTTACTAATTGGGATTAACACAGTCACTTCCCATTTGCTTCTTCCTAATGAGGAGACCTGGGGGAGCAGCAGACTCGTCCTTGCTCTTGGTGAAGGACTTGAAAGTCCAACTGGAGCATGTATTTAACATCAGTTTTCCTGCCAGTCCAGGGGCTGGAATATTAATATTAAATATACTGTAAAGGTACACCCAGTGCTTCCAAGGCTGATCCCTCTCATGCTTTGCAGCTATGCCTCAGTCCCAGTGAGAAAACCAGTACTGGTGGAAACCCACAGTGCTCAGAAATTATCTGCAATTGTACTTCTTGTGAAGCAAGAACCAACATCCCTCTAGTCAAAGAACAGACTTCATCACTTTATACACACAGAAACCAAAGTGCAAAAGCCCAACTTGCTACCTCTCACAGCTTCATAATGAGATTTGCAGCAGTTGGTATTTTCCCATAAAATCTAAATTCCTGGATTCACATGATTGGGGTATGAGGCTCCTGGAAGGAAGCAGAAAGAAGAGTCTTGCCCTAATGATCGTAAAGCAAAGCCTGAAAGTTTGAACATAAAAGCCCCAATGGACTTAAGGCTGAAAGGCAAATAAAAGAAACTGAAATGTATAGTTTGGGGATCTTATTATTTAATGTGTTAACGACATGGGCAGGAAGCTGTGACAGACCTGAAAAGCGAGCCAAGAGCTCCTGATCTCTATCCCTGCCTTGCTGAGGACCATCCCACGTCCTTATGCAAATGCCATTTACTTAACCAGACCCAGTTCTCCGAGGGTGATCTTACACAACCGCTTCAGGCCATCGTGTCTCATAAACCTTCGCAGAGAAACAGCTGCCACACTGGTTGCAAATCCAGCTTTCACACGGTGCTCGAGTCAGCCACACAATTTGGTAAGCCTGAGTATGTGAAAGCCCAATTTGAAACCTGCCACCCCGGTGGTCCCCCCTCACAGGGCACTTGGGTGCCAACCTCCTCACCGTTCTCGCCAGCCTCCAACATGCCCTGTAAGTATCGGAAGGATCCAGACTGCTTTGGCTCTGAGACGGGCTTTTCATAGTCCTGGAGCATCTTGTAGACATCTGACTCCACATCAATCCCATTTCTGTTCCGTGGGAGAGACTTCACGGGGTCAATGCTGTTTTAAAGCAAAGAAAGAAAGGCTCAAGTCAAATAGAAACAGCTCCTGTCAGCTCATCAGGGCGGTATTGGAACCTCCACATTCCCACAGATTCAATGAAGCACCTCTGTTCCCATGTGTTTCCCTGCCTGGAGGGACGTCTGGCCCAGGAAGAGCCGCTGAACCAGGGAGGTTAAACTTGTTCCCTGTTGGGCTCCAATTGAGCAACACAGCAAGAGCTGGCCCAGTTACCAGATGCCTTCAGGAAAGAGGGCAGCTGCTTGCAAACACTGTAAATTGCTCTGCCACCCATGGCATTTACTGAAAGAATGGGTAAAACATGCATTTCATTAACTATGTAGGGCCAGGAGATGCACCCAGCCCTTGTTAGGGCATCCAGAGTGTGTGCCAGGCACGGCAGCAAAGCCCTTCAGCACCCACAGGTGCCTCTGGGGAAGCTGGTGTTTCTGTGGGTACAGAAACAGAGCCCACAGCTCAACGGAGAAAACCACCCCACCACTGGGGGGGACACAGGAGGGAGCCCCATGACCCCCCTCTGCCCTCCAGCATCTCTACCCAAAGCTGCTCCTGGTCTGTACATGGCATAGCTGGGATACACAGACAACAAACAGCAATTTAAACCATTATTCCAGTTCATTCAATACATCAAAGCATGAAAAGCGTAGTTGGAATAAAAAATATTTAAAAGTCCTGCTGAGAAGAGCTGAGTCCAAGTGCTGTTGTGCTCCAGAGGCCCCAATGCACAGCACAGCTCCAGGGGAAGGGGCTCCTTTTCCTTTTTACAGAGGAGGTCATCAAGGTCATTATAAAACCAATAAAAATAGCAAGAGCCCTGAACTCCATCAGCTTCACATATTTTAGCTATCATCTGGTTCATTTTCTCCACCAGTATTATATTCATGTCAGCTTAAACAAATAAACAAAAGAAATAACATTCACTTTCAAACAAACAAAGAGGAAAAAAAAAAGCCCAACAAAAGTCACTTTCAAAGAAAGGCCAGAGCTCCATTTTCTGGTAGTGACTCCCTAGCAATCCTGCTCCCTGTGGGAGGTGAGGGCCATCCTGGCTGAGCCATGGATCCATCCCTGTGAGACCCGGCCAGCCCAAACCTTCAGGAGGGCCCCAAGTGCCTGCCTGCCCTGCTAGAGCCCTCTCCCACATCAATTCACACAGTTTCAGTGAAAAAGGGCAGGTTTGGCCAGCTCAGCCTCACCGAGCACCAAATCAAAGAGAACACACTCCTGCCCCAATTCTGCTCAAAGACCCAAGTGAATCTCCTGGCTTTTGGCTCACACACAGGTAACACCAGATTTTGTTCTCTGTATTTTTTGTGCAGTTCTCTCTTTCCAACTTCATTAACTTCCCCAGAGCAGCACGGGGAATAAGCTGGCTTGCAGCATCTGAAATACAAATTCGTGGAGACACAGAGTTCCCAAGCTGAAAAGAAACTCTCTTTGCTCTTCGTATGAGATACAGACATTGCTTTCTTGCAGGATATTTTGCCAGTTTGGAGGAACATAAATCAGCATCCATATAATCCATACAAAAGCATCCCAGCCCACAACCTGGCCTGTCTCAAAGTCTGAGTTATCCAACCAAACCGTTCTTGGCTATGCAAAAGCCTTTTCTTTCCTAGGAGCATTATTTATTCCCCAACCTCCTGGACAGCTGCACTGAGCAGATCTTACATTTATAAACATCCCAGTTACTGGGGTTCATTTTTTTGGTGGATACCTCCAGCTCCCAGGACAGGTGTTTGCTCCTGGGTCTGCAGCAGGGTGATCCCCACTCCTAGGAGGGCAGCACCCTCCATCCTGTCCCAGATATACACTTCGAAAAAACCAGGATATTAATGTCTGTGACACTCACAGAATCATAGAACTGTTTAGGTTGGAAAAGCCCAAGGTCATCGAGTCCAGCTGTTAACCCCAGCACTACAAACCCACCACCAAGTGCCACATCCACACATCTGTTAAATCCCACCAGGGCTGGGGACTCCACCACTGTCCTCAGCAGCCTGTGCCAGGGCTGGACAACCCACCTACCCCTGACTAATGGGGCAGGAGCCCAGCCCAGCATCTCGGCCTTGGCAGTGTCAGGTCAACGCTTGGACCTGATCTTGGAGGTCTTTCCAACTGAAATGGTTCTAAGATTCCACGCTCTCTGGAGCTCCAGGAACACCACAGCCCCCATGCACCCCCCAAGCCAAGTTGGCAGGAGCAGCAGTGCAGGCAGAGTGTGAGCCCTGCCCTGTCCTACCTGTGTGCAGCAGAGATGTGGAGCCCGCCCAGCTGGGCCGGGAGCGCCGACTCGGGGCCGCTGTTGGGGTAGAGCCGGGGGGGCTGGTGGTGCTGCACGTTCAGCACCTGCTGCTTGTCCAGGGGGCTGCCCCCAGCCCCCAGGGGCACCGACCTCCTGCTCTGGGCAGGGCCATTGTCCTGGAAGAGAGGAAAACCAGAAAATCCTGAGATTTACAGCGTGCGATGTGCACGGAGCGGCCGCGCTGGGACACGCGGTTCGCAGTAACAACATTTTACACGTGCTGTGGAAAACAGAGATGTGCAGCAGGAAAAAGAAAACCCAGGCTTGACCTGCAGTTAAATCGTGCTGAATCTACACAGCTCCCCTCGGTCCCCAACCAAATGCATTTTACTGTTTCTCCACCGTGAGCCACTGCCAAATATCCTGCATTTATTCTCCTGTACGAGCGTATTTGTTATTTCCTCAAAAGAAAGGCTGTGAGTCTGCTTCTCATTTCTCTGCTTCCACCACTCCCAGGACACTTGCTGGGCTCCCGACTTCAGGGCCATGGCTCCCATTTCCATCAGCAAAACAGGATAAGCCCAAGCTCAGCAGCTCCACGTGCAGGTTGGGCAACACCTGAAGCCAAGGGACCAGTCCTGGGATTTTCACTTGCAGCTACACTTGACCACAAAGATCCATGTTCATTGTGGGAGGTTTTCTCTCCAAATAAGATCAGTCATTTACAGGGTGAGAAACACATCAGTCAAGGGTTTAGCTGGGCATTCATATTTCCATTTGCTTTTAAAGTCCCAAGGCAAACTATGGAAATCTTTTTGTCACATGACCTCAGATGACATTAAACCAAAAATTTTCCATGTTACTTTACCCATGTAAAATATTACCTATGTGTTATTGCACATATATGGAATTCCATCTATATGAGAGTGTACAAGGCTGTTAGTCAGCCCTGTGCACACCCATAAACCCAGCAGTACCTGCTGCTAATGTCACCATGAGCCAGGCTTTACCTGCAAAGACTCAGTCTGGGGAGATAAGCTAATTCCAGCAACTGGGAAAAGCAGCAGAAAGCTGGACACAGCCTCTGGACACACGTTGGCTGCTGTTTGCAGCCATGTGAGTCAGAAACATGCCTGTACCAATGGAAGACACAGACGCTGTGTAAGAGGTTGGAATCTGTTTAATCTGGTTTAATCTGTTCCAGGGCAGGTCCCCAGCCAGGCTGCCTCACACCAGCTTTTCAGCAGACTGAAGCTGATGAAAAACCAGGAAAAGAAAACACCATCCTGTGAACAAATAACAAAGTGCATATTGTGGGGCTCTGATACAAAGCTTACTTTTGACTAAAATAATCCAATAAATACTAATTGGAAACAAATGTCTATCACTGGTGCATAGGAGAACACGCTGGTGCTCCCAAACCTTGTAAAAATGAACAGCTAAGAGAAATAAAAACCAGATCCTGCTAGAAAAAAGATCCTGACAGTCCAATTCTTCAGTTCTTCCCAAGGCAAAATGCTCATTGATAAAACTGGGCTTAATTAAGAACTGTAAGATGGAGCCTTTGAGGGTTTCTTCTACCATCAGCTGAAAAACTGCAGCCCCCAGCTCCCAGCACTTCCACTGCCTCAGAAGCTGCCTGGAGCCCTCTTGGCACAGTTCCCTCCACACCATGCATGCACACACACGTGGGGAAAACTGCTTCCAACATAATAACTTCAAATTGTCTATTAAAAAAGGAATTTTGCTGCCAGGAATAATATAATTTTAACTGTTCCCCAATTTATGTTCTTTAAAAAAAATATATACAAGCAGGCTACGGGTTTCCAATTCCCAGATTTACATTATTATTTCAAGGGAAATAAAGAAAACACTCTCGACCATGAAGCAGAGAGGAAAAGAAGGATCATAAACATTTGGGGGGAAAAAGGTAACAACCCATGTGGCTAACAGCATTGAGAGCTATGGAGTGATGCTTTTAGAAAACCACTATCTTTAATTATCTGTGGCCTGGGGCTCAGATTCACACTCGGTCCATGGATGCTGGAGGAGAGGGCAGGGTCCTCTTCTCTCCTCTGACCTCCTGGGCTCCCCCACACTGGGGCCATCCAACCCCTTGGCTGGGGACCATGCGACTGGCAGCTGTTTCTGGAATGGAAACCTCCTCCATCAAAGGGCCTACAGACCATCATCTCCATGGATTGCTTTAATCCAAGGCAGTTTGTAAAGCGTCGCCCCTTCGTCCCTGTTAAGCTCAGCAATTTGTTCATCGAGACCAACTGTTGCTATAAAGCTAAAACCTATTGGTTGGGCACTCTCCAAAAGGCATGGGAGCCCAGGGGTGGGAGCAGGAGGAAGCAGAGCCCCTCCTGCACTGCTGAGCTGCTCCATGTCCCAAGCTGCCACCAGCTCCCTGTGCCCCTGGGAGGAGGATGCTCGTGCTGGTGGCAGCTCCTCTTTGCTCTGCTCAGCCCTGTTACAAAGCCCCAGGTGACCCAGCAGCATCCACAGGGATCAAGGGGCTCCTCAACACCTCCCAGACCAAGACCAGGGACATGAAGCTCCTCAGGCCTTTCCCACCACTCTGTGTAGGCTTTGGAGAGCTGAGCTTTGTGCTGGGGCAGCCACTGGTGCTGTGGGAAGCACTGACCTCCTGAGAGCCCTTTGTGCCTTCCTGTGCTCCCCTTTGCTCTGCTGCACAACTTTCCTGCTGCACAAAAAGCTGCTCCCAGACCAGAGCTCAGTCTGCTCTTCCTCAAAGGCTCCGAGACCTCTGCGAGGCTTCTCCTCGTGCAAAACAGTCACATGTTCACCCTCAGAAACCCAGAACCAGGTGGATTTCTTGCCAGTTCTCCAATTCAAGATCAGTTAAAGTTTCCTCCCCTTGGGACCTAATTTGCTTTTCTCTGCTGGGTTTTCTTCCTGCTCTTTATGGCCTTTATTAAACTAAGAGAGTTTGCAAACCCTTCCCAAGAGCTGGCCTGGGGAGTTTCACCATGGAGAACCCTTTTAACCTACAAACCAGAAACCCCCAATTTGTTTTCTCAAGCTTGCCTGGGTTTTTTTGGACATTTTGCAAAATGTCCTGTTTGTCCTTCCATCTTTTTTCAACGGCAAGTCTTTAGCTCTAGAGACAACAGGTTTTAAACAGAGCTTCAGAGAACATCAGACTTCATGTTCTGATTCAAAGCATTCAAAAGTTCATTCACTTTGGTGTGTTATAAATTAGACTCTTAAAAGACCAGAAGTACAAACAGGATGATTTCCTTTTTCCAGACAGAGATTAAAACAGAGGATTGCTAATTTGACAGGCCAGCATCGTTTCCTACAACCTCCACACAAGCCCCGATACCCTTGGCATGATTTGGAAGGGCTTTGATAGTTTTGGTGTCTCTTAAGAAGCCTTCCTGGCTTCTTAAGCAGACCCACTAGCTGCAGAGCCAAAAACACCTCCAAAATTGCACCTCTGATCCCCAAATCCAGCCTCCATCTGCCCGTTGGTGCAGTGCTGGGGGGAGATCTGCCTGGCCAGGACCAGCAGCAGCTCTGGGATCCCTGCACCATGTTTAACTTCCTAATCCCAAGTGCCAGTCCTGTCCCCTGTCATAAACACACGCCACGTCAGACTCAAACAGAGCTGAAGGCCATTAACACTTGGCTCAGCCCAAAGCAGCTTTCTGTTTGATGTTCCTCAGATCCACCCTCCTCCCAAAACCAGAACACAGTCAGTGAGTGTCAGCTACACGCTGGCTGCCAAAATGCTGAATTAGAGACACAAGTGTTTCTATTTGTGCACCAGGAGGTCAAAGCACCCTTCAGCCATGCAGTCACCTGGAAGAGGTGTCTTTTGTGACCCTGCTTGGTGACCTGTGTCCATCATCCAGCGATGGCAATGCTCAAGAGCTCCAGCTCCTCACCAGCATTTGGCTTCTTTCTCCCTTGCTCCAAGCCTGGGTAATTCGGCCCAAATTGATTCTGACCTCTCCTGGCAGAGGGCTTTTTGTGGATGAAAATTTACTGCCTTCATTATTCCAAGTCCCCTTTCATACAAATGTGGCAAGCAATTAAGCCTGAAGACACATCCCGACAACCTCGGGTTGAAACTCAGACTCTGCACTGAAGACAACTGCAATGCAGCAGCCCCTCCTCTCCTTCTCCCCAGATTTTCAACAGCAAGGACACTGCTTTGTCTCCGATAAACTGATTCAAAAGTCCCAGAAATGGAAATCTTATTATTACCCCACAGAGGAGGTGTATTGGACAGGCAGCACGGATTTAATTTCAATGCAAATAACAGATTTACACTGTGGCCAATGGCCACGGGAGCAGGATCAGTTCTCCAACAACAGCCTCAAAAGAAGTCCCACAGGGAGCCCTTACATTCAAGGCTGCCCCAAAGCCGGAGGAAAAGGATAAATTTTAAAGGCTACACTCATTTTAACACATTTTTCCCCACCAGCACAGTTCAGATGCCCTGTGTATATGCTGCTTTTACAGACTAAGCAGGCTTCAATCTAACTTTTAAAAGCCCTAGTAAGTACAATCCCATTATTTAGCTCAGCTCAGAAGATTAAAAGATAAGAAAAAAGGTCAGGTGTAGTTTGCTGAGGCTGGATAAACAGAGTGTGTGGGTTATTTTATGAGACAGATTTGGAATATTCTGCCAAGTTCCCCTTTCAGCGTATCCCACAGTCTGAAAGGAAAGTCTGAAGGAAAACTTAATGCATCACGTTCTTCTCACTACACTCCTTTCACAGTCATCGGCGAAACACCAAATTAATTTTTCAGATTTCAGTAAGAGAACAAACCTTAAAATCCGATGGTCTCCCGTAAAAAGGCCGCAGACGATGCTCACCTGACACACGACCCAGCCCGGAGCCTGGGGGAGCCCCAGCCCGGCCACAGCCCCGGGACAGGCTGGACTGCTCAGGGCATGGAGTGACAGGAGAGGGGAACGGCCTCATGCTGAAGCAGGGCAGGGACAGATGGGATATTGGGAAGGAATCCTTCCCTGGGAGGGTGGGGAGGCCCTGGCACAGGTTACCCAGAGAGGCTGTGCCTGCCCCATCCCTGGAAGTGTCCAAGGGCAGGTTGGACGGGGCTTGGAGCAACCTGGGCTGGTGGAAGGTGTCCCTGCCATGGCAGGGGGTGGGACTGGATGATCCTTAAGGTTCCT